CATTGTGACGATATGGTACACATATTGTACCATTGTGACGATTTGGTACACATATTGTACCCTTGTGACGATATAATAATAATAGTAATAATAGGCCATTTATATAGCGCCTTTCCACGTCACAGGGATATGCTCAAAGCGCTTCCTGAGCTCAAGTTAAAACTATATACAGTTGGCAGGTACGGATGATTGGAAGTCACTTGTAGCGAAGAAATAGATGAGTCTTTAGTCGTGTTTTGAATGTACTTAGGGAAGGAGATGATTTTAACTCGATAGGGAGAGAGTTCCACAGAGAAGCTGCTGCATATGAAAAGGTCCTTGAGCCAAATGATTTGAGACTGTAGCTCGGGACAGCAAGTAACAGTTGTTGTGATGAGCGCAGGGTTCTTTCTGGAGAGTAATGTGTCAGAAGGTCTTGAAGGTAGGAAGGTCCTGAGTTGTAGAAAGACTGGTAGGTGAGGCAGAGAATCTTGAAATCAATCCTTTCACGAATACGGAGCCAGTGTAGAGAGTTTAGGATGGGAGAGATGTGACAGCGAGGACTGGTGAGAGTGATGATGCGTGCAGCTTTGTTCTGGATTTTCTGAAGACGATGGAGTTGAGAGGAAGAGATGCCAAACAGTAAACTGTTGCAGTAATCCAGGCGGGATAAAATCAGTGTCCGCACAAGGGTGGCAGTGGCTTCTTTGTTAGGACTTTGCGGATGCTGCCGATGTTCTTCAGATGGTAGTGGCAGGTCTTTACTAGATGATTTATTTGCTTGTCCATGCTGAGGTTTGAGTCCAAAAGAACGCCAAGGTTTTTCACAAGAGGAGAAAAAGGAATCGAAGATTGCCCAATGGAGATATCTTTGATGATAAGGTTTCGTTGTCTTGAGATTGTGGAGATGACCATTGTTTCTGTTTTATAGTCGTTAAGTTTCAGCTTGTTAGCAGACATCCAGGATCTTGTGCTCGAGAGGCATGCTTCAAGGTTGACTTGCACTCTAACTGACTTTGTTCTGACGACTTAAAACTGTCAAACAATTGGCTGTCGTCCGCATAGAAATGATGAGGCACATGATAAGCAGACATCAGTTTTCCGAGCGGTTGAGTATACAGGGAGAAAAGAGTTGGTCCAAGAACTGATCCCTGGGGAACTCCACAGGTTAGGTGTGACTGGATGATGAAGACGTTCCGATGTGAATGGACTGGGTTCTGTCTGAAAGGTAGGATCTTAGCCAGTCAAGAACTGTATTAGTCAAACCAAATTCTTTCACCAAACGCTCAAGAAGAATTTCATGGTTAATTGTGTCGAAAGCCGCAGATAAATCCAGGAGGACAAGCAAAGCAGATTCACCATGGTCGACTGCAGATCTGACAGAGTTCAAGACATAATTTAGAGCAGTTTCTGTGCTGTGAGCCTGCCTGTAGGCAGATTGGTAACAATCAGTCAAGTTATGCCCAGAAAGATGATCCGAGAGTTGTTGTTTGACTACTTTCTCCAGAACTTTAGACATGAACATCAAATTTGAGACAGGACGATAGTTTTTTAGACTCTGAGGGTCAAGCGTGGTTTTCTTTGATGAGTGGTTTGACTACAGCTCGCTTAAAGCATGATGGTACACAACCTGATGATAAACTTAGGTTGATGATCTTGGTAATGATTGGCAGAATGATATCCAGTATTTTCAAAAGGAATTTTGTCGGGATAGGATCAAGCTCACATGAAGTTGGTTTTGACGAAAGCATTATTTTCTTGACCTCAGATTCTGTTACTGGACGGAATGAACTGAGCTGGGTACCAATGGGCTCCCCGAATACAACATCCTCAGAAGAAGAATCAATATCACCTCGTAGTTTCGTGATCTTCTCATTGAAGAAGGTGTTGAAATCCTCTGCCAATGTCTTTTCCTCGCCATGAGGAAGTAACACTTCCTTAGATTTTCCAAGGATCTTGTGGAGAGAGCTGTGTAAACGTTTTGGATTTTCTGCAATCCTAGAAATTTCCTCATTGATGTAATGGGCGCGAGCATTCCTGATTTCTTTGGCAACATTGTTTCGGGCACATTTGTACAATTGTCTATGGATCTCCAAGCCAGAGATGCGCCATGTGCGCTCAGCAAAGTGTCTCTTCCTCTTTGCCTCACGGACTTGATCGTTGTACCACGGTGATGCTTCATGATTACGCATTTGCTTCAATTTAACGGGGCGTGTTTATCTAAGACGGCCGTCAAAGTAGAGTTAAAGAGATCAGATAGCTCGTTAACGTCATCAGATGTGTTAGAAAACAGACCTGAATTGCTCAGATCATGACAGAATATGCCAATGTCAATTTTCTTCAGGTTGCGAGCTGTGATGAACTCGGTATTCGGAGTGGGTCTTTGGAAATTCAGAAGGAAGGAGATCATGAAATGATCGGATATCTGCAAATCATTGACTTCTAGGTCTGTTACCAGATCATCAAATCCTGAGATAACCCAGTCAAGCACATGACCAGAGCGATGTGTGGAACAGCTGACATGTTGTTTGAGGCTGTGGGATTCCAGTACGTTGAGCACTTGCTTAGTTAAGGAATTTTGTTTGATATCATAATGGACATTAAAGTCACCCATGATTACACAAGATCCAAGTTTGGGACTTAGTAAGTCACAGAGTGAAGAAAATTCATCGCAGAAGTTTGAGTTAGTGACGTTATTCACTCTTGATGGTGGGGGCCTATAGAGACACACAATTTTAAAAGATTTTTTACCACAAGTGACAGTGACAAGCAAATATTCAAATGAAGCAAAGTCAGTATGTAGGTTTGACTTTTCAATAATCAAATCCTTCCTGTAGATCAGTGCGACACCCCCTCCTCTCCTGTTTGGTCTAGGTACATTAAACAGTTTGTAGCCTGGCGGGGTAATTTCATGGCATTTTGACTCATCACCGACGGCAGCTAGCCAAGTTTCAGTGAGAAAGAGCAAATCGATGTCATGATCCAGCATATAGTCGTATATTTCAACTGTTTTGTTTTTGCAAGATTGGGAATTAAATAGATGAACTTTAATCAAATCAGAAGGTTTTGAATTTCCACTTGACTGAATTCCAGGGACATGGGTTGAAAGCTGGTTCATTGACTTATCCAAATTACTGAACACAGCACCTGTTGGTTGATTGTTCTTTTGTTTGCGTCGTCCACCTCGGCTACCCCTCACAAAGGGGCTGATACCCAGGTGCTTGATTAGTTGATATACATCAGGGTCAATCCATTGTCTTTTCTTCACCTGCTTGCCTATAACAATTAGTCGGCTTCTATTCAACTCAGGCTGGCGCACTCCCATTGTCACTGGGCTGTGAAAGACGCTTGCTTCCCTGATTGTTGAACAATGGTAGGCCTCACTGGTTTCAAATATTTGGAAAATCCAGACAAATATTGCAGTGAAAATCAACATTTTCTGTAAGTACTTTTTGCTTCAAAAGTCACAAATACACATGTCTGGATATGTTAGGAACACCATGAACAGTTTTCAAGCAGATCCGCTGAGAATAAACAGGGTTTTTCCAGGAAAATGTGGGAGCTCAGGTGAAATGCAGCCTGTCAGGCGCAGGTATCTAATCTAATATGGTACACATATTGTACCATTGTGACGATATGGTCCACAGATTGTACCCTGGTGACGATATGGTACACATATTGTACCCTTGTGACGATATGGTACACGTATTGTACCATTGTGACGATATGGTACACATATTGTACCCTGGTGACGATATGATACACATATTGTACCCTGGTGACGATATGGTACACAGATTGTACCCTGGTGACGATATGGTACACATATTGTACCATTGTGACGATATGGTCCACATATTGTACCCTGGTGACGATTTGGTCTACATATTGTACCCTGGTGACGATATGGTACACATATTGTACCCTGGTGACGATATGGTACACATATTGTACCCTTGTGACGATATGGTCCACATATTGTACCCTGGTGACGATATGGTACACATATTGTACCATTGTGACGATATGGTACACATATTGTACCCTTGTGTCGATATGGTCTACATATTGTACCCTGGTGACGATATGGTCCACATATTGTACCATTGTGACAATATGGCCTACATATTGTACCCTGGTGACGATATGGTACACATATTGTACCATTGTGACGATATAGTCTACATATTGTACCCTGGTGACTATATGGTCCACATATTGTACCCTTGTGACGATATGGTACAAATACTGTACCCTTGAGACGATATGTGGTCCAGATATTGTACCCTTGTGACGATGTGGTACACATATTGTACCCTTTTGATGATATCGTCCACATATTGTACCCTTTTGATGATATGGTCTAGGCAGTGTACCCTTGTGACTACGAGGTCCAGATATTGTACCCTTGTGACGATGTGGTACACATATTGTACCCTTTTAAGGATATCGTCCACATATTGTACCCTTTTGATGATATCGTCCACATATTGTACCCTTGTGACAATGTGGTCCAGATATTGTACCCTTGTGATGATATGGTCCACACATTATACCCTCGTGACGATGTGGTCCACATAGTGTACCATTTTGACGATATCGTCCACATATTGTACCCTTTTGATGATATGGTCCGGGCAGTGTATCCTTGTGACTACATGGTCCAGGCAATGTATCCTTGTGGGTACATGGTCCAGATATTGTACCCTTGTGACGATATGGTCCACACATTGTACCCTTGTGACGATGTGGTCCACATATTGTACCCTTTTGACGATATCGTCCACATATTGTACCCTTTTGATGATATGGTCCAGGCAGTGTATCCTTGTGACTGCATGGTCCAGGCAGTGTATCCTTGTGGCTACATGGTCAAGATATTGTACCCTTGTGACGATATGGTCCACACATTGTACCCTTGTGACGATATGGTCCAGATACTGTACCCTTGTCACAATATGGTCCACATAATGTACCCCTACAACTATTTACAACATATAGATCCACATAACTGGTCCTACCTGTACCAGCGTTGTCTGTGTCAGGTGTTGACGATCCCCGGTCTCCTGGTCTCCTCAGGGCGGCTCCGTGTTCCCCACCTGTCATCCCGTCTCGGTCAGACGGTCGAGCAGTGGACATGACGTGTGTGCTGAATCCTGAATCCTCCATCTCACGTTGGGAGGACGGTGAGTCTTGACCATCGGGCAGCTTGCCGTTACCTGTAATAATCACCACATGTTTCATGCTATCTATTACAGTCAGTATTACATTACTTTTCTTTATAACGGCTGTGGCCACGAACATGAGATGTACAGGGAGATATTCCTTCTTGCACAGGAACAAAGGACGGAATAGTGAAGCATCCCATTCCCTATTTGGTCTGGAGTCACAGAAACACAGGGATTGGTTCTTCTTGGTCGCTTGCCGCAATATTCTAGTCTGGACCAGACAATCCCGTGATCAACAACATGAGCACCGATCTACACAATTGGAATACGATGACATGTGTCAATCAAGACAGTGAGCCTGACCCTCCGATCCCGTTAGTCGCCTTTTCCGACAGGCATGGGTTACTGAAGACCAACTTTAGCTCGGATCTACAAGGGTACATAAAATCTGCGATAGAAAGGAGGTATATATAGTAGACAATTATCAAATATACAATGCTCACATGAACTTCACATTTTGGCACAATTATGCTTACTCCATCTAAACAATTAAATGAAAACTAGCCATCAAATATTTCAAACGGAGATGTACAAGATATGTACAAGAAATTAAATATTGTACACATACCTAGATTCAACACTGCCTAATTCAACAAACTGGCACTCGTCTATTGTAGCCTGTTAAAAACAATAAACATTTCGCCCATTTCAACATCAATCCATACCTTGAGTCATTACCTCAAGCTCTGGACTACCCACCTGAGAGTACGGCAATATTCCGACCCCTGTCATTGTCTCCGCTGCTGCCCCCGGATGGTCTCAGCTGGGAGTGGGAAACACTGACACCTTCAGGAACTATCACGTCTTCATCTCCTGGAGCTCTCCTCACATCCAGAGACCTTGGCGAGTCGCCTGTGAGAAGGATCACCCAAAGATGTTTCACAAGAAATCAATATAAAGAGACTCAAGCACTGCTTTGATTTTAGAGCTCATGACATCTTTAACATGATTTATTATGGTTTGCATTTAGAAAGCACCAAACATTAGCCTTTACCGTGTTCCAATATTTGATATTAGCATCACCTTCACGTGTACCGGCACCTGTTGCCTGCAGGTGTGCGTGAGACACGTGGGCGTCTTCAGGAACAATCGCATCCCCATCCCCAGCAGCTCTACGTACATTCAGAGAACCTGGAGAACCTTCTGAAAAATATCACTTTCAGTTTTGAAATTCATCTTAAAAAATCAGTAGGCATCGTTATATTGAGAATAGTACGTCATTTACGTCATTTGTTGCTATGACGTCACAATCATATGACATCAATTGTCCCTTCTGAAATAGTGGGTTACACGTCAGTGACGAGGACAAGCTTCTGTTGCTGGACCATCCCTTATCTCTATAGGTTACACTTGTTACACGAGTGGCCCAGTCGTAGGGGAGGTTTCCTCTACAGAGTTACGCCCCTTTGTGCACTCCAGATGCCTGGGGGATTCAAGTTTGAGTCACAGTTCGCTGGAGGCTCAACTGATATTGCTTCGGGCCTTTATCCCAGATCAAGCAGACACACGCGTTATTGTGTGATCTTGACTGTCTCCATAACATCGCTGATAAGCAAACAGCCATAGATGAGTGAGTGGGTTGCTATTGACGCCCTTTTGCTGTTCATGTTGGAGAAGATCGTGCACGTCCACCATATTGATAATCGTCACAGTTCAATGAAACACGTTGGTTTGATGTTGGCAAGTCTACATGCATAACACGGGTGGACCTGGATTCGAACCACAGATACTATATCTCTGGAGGTGTGCAAATGGAACTTTAGCGTTTGGGAAAGCAGTGATCTCGCGCTTGTGTTATAGATCGAGCACAATACACAATAAAATAGTACGTTAGCTCATATATAACCGTTATTGTGTCAGAATGTTGCTCCACCGCTTACAGTGTTTGGTCATATGAACATTCAAAATCGTCGGTGTTTGGTTATGTGCACATAAAACGTTGTGATCATTGTGCATGTTATAGCATTAGACATGCTGCTACCAAATACAGAAATGATATCCTCAGCTTCAGTAGATATTTGAGGCAAATATATGCTGTTAAATATTGTTCTTACTCGTTCGTCTCCCACCTTCCCCTGCCAGGGAGTCCTCGTCAACAACAGGACGACGTAGTGGTTGTCCGTGTTCATCATACAGTCCCATGCTGTCTGCATCTCCACCGGCCGTCGTGAGTGTTGCTGGCCCCGACCCATGCAGTTCCCTCTGTGATCTGGCAGCGTCCTTCCCTGGTGGGGCTCCGTCTTGTCCATTCCGCAGTCCTGCCAAGATTATTGTCCGTTTAATACCAACAATATATATGATGGAGACGTAACTAGCCCCGCCCACTCCACCACGTGTTGCTTCAAACAATACTGTGTCTGCTAACAGCACATGTGATGGAGATATTGGGACAGGCGGTTCTTCCTATACATAATCATCACATTTCAGTTCAAAGCATTGGAACTTCCGATAGTTTCGCGGCGGTGGGGTAGCCCGTTGGTTCAAGCGTTAGCTCGTCCTCCCGAAGACACGGGTTCGACTTCCTAGAGGGGTATAATGCCGAAAGAGCAGTTTTCTGTTCCCTGTCGTGATATTGCTGGGCTATTGTTGGGCTATTGCTAAAAGATGGTTAAACACTCACTCACTCAGTCGCATAAGCACCCACCAACTCACTCACTCACTTGAGAATCAGCGAGTAGATCTTATTTTCATCATGTTTCTAAACCTAAAGTCCATCTTATTACGTCAGTCACTCGAGTAGCATTTAGCACCTGCAACACCGTCACGTCCTCCATCAGTGTCGGCACCTCTAGCTTGCGACTGTGCGTGGGACACGTGGGCGTCTTCGGGAACAATGACATCCTCGTCCCCAGCCCCTGCAGCTCTACGTACATTCAGGGAACCTGGAGACCCTTCTGAAAACACCGTTTATTTAAATGACTACGGAGAACATCAAAGAGAATCAGTTGGCACTGTTATATCATGAATGTATCTTCCAAAACTTGTTCCCAGAAGAGATAGGCTACACTGAATAATGAACATTAAGATTATACTATTTTTTATGCTGTATATTGTTTTCTTTATCTCCAGTATAAAACAAGATTACTTAATGTTTTGTATAATGACACACTATCCAAACAGATGTATAATATTGTTCTTACTTGTTCGTCTCCCACCTTCCCCTGCCACGGAGTCCTCGTCAACAACAGGACGACGTAGTGGTTGGCCGTGTTCATCATACAGCCCCATGTTGTCTGCATCTCCACCGGCCGTCGTGAGTGTTGCTGGCCCCGATCTTTGCAGTTCCCTCTGTGATCTGGCAGCATCCTTCCCTGGCGGAGCCCCGCCCACCCCGCCACGTGGCGCTGCAATGAAGAAGATGTGCACAATCAATTCTTCCTACACCCATCAGGGGATCTTGTATATTCTTCCTACACCCATCAGGGGATCTTGTATATTCTTCCTACACCCATCAGGGGATCTTGTATATTCTTCCTACACCCATCAGGGGATCTTGTATATTCTTCCTACACCCATCAGGGGATCTTGTATATTCTTCCTACATCATATAAGGGGATCTTGTATATTCTTCCTACACCCATCAGGGGATCTTGTATATTCTTCCTACACCCATCAGGGGATGTTGTATATTCTTCCTACATCCATCAGGGGATCTTGTATATTCTTCCTACACCTATCAGGGGATCTTGTATATTCTTCCTACACCTATCAGGGGATCTTGTATATTCTTCCTACACCTATCAGGGGATCTTGTATATTCTTCCTACACCTATCAGGGGATCTTGTATATTCTTCCTACACCCATCAGGGGATGTTGTATATTCTTCCTACATCCATCAGGGGATCTTGTATATTCTTCCTACACCAATCAAGGGATCTTGTATATTCTTCCTACACCCACAAGGGGATCTTGTATATTCTTCCTACACCCATCAGGGGATCTTGTATATTCTTCCTACACTCATCAGGGGATCTTGTATATTCTTCCTACACCTATCAGGGGATGTTGTATATTCTTCCTACACTCATAAGGGGATCTTGTATATTCTTCCTACACTCATCAGGGGATCTTGTATATTCTTCCTACACCCATCAGGGGATCTTGTATATTCTTCCTACACCCATCAGGGGATCTTGTATATTCTTCCTACACCCATCAAGGATCTTGTATATTCTTCCTACACCTATCAGGGATGTTGTATATTCTTCCTACACCCATCAGGGGGATCTTGTGTATATTCTTCCTACACCCATCAAGGGATCTTGTATATTCTTCCTACACCCATCAGGGGATCTTGTATATTCTTCCTACACCTATCAGGGGATCTTGTATATTCTTCCTACACCCATAAGGGGATCTTGTATATTCTTCCTACACCCATCAGGGGATCTTGTATATTCTTCCTACACCCATCAGGGGATCTTGTATATTCTTCCTACACCCATCAGGATCTTGTATATTCTTCTACACCTATCAGGGATCTTGTATATTCTTCCTACACCCATCAGGGGATCTTGTATATTTTTCCTACACCCATCAGGGGATCTTGTATATTCTTCCTACACCCATCAGGGGATGTTGTATATTCTTCCTACATCCATCAGGGGATCTTGTATATTCTTCCTACACCCATCAGGGGATCTTGTATATTCTTCCTACACCTATCAGGGGATCTTGTATATTCTTCCTACACCTTTCTTCCTACACCCATCAGGGGATCTTGTATATTCTTCCTACACCTCATCAGGGGATCTTGTATATTCTTCCTACACCCATCAGGGGATGTTGTATATTCTTCCTACACTCATAAGGGGATCTTGTATATTCTTCCTACACCCATCAGGGGATCTTGTATATTCTTCCTACACTCATAAGGGGATGTTGTAAATTCTCCGCGTCATTAGATTAACACGCAATAATGTATCTCAGATATTCTTGAGAATGTAGAAACGGTATGTCACTGAATCCCTGAACTTTGGTTTTAGCAGCGATATATCATGAATCCCGAAAACGTTTCTCGATGTAATTCAGCACTCTTCACTGACGTTAAGTTTATTTCGTTTCCACCCAATACGTCCAAGAACTTTCATGTATCGACGTTTATCATAATAATAATAATATAAACATATTTGCACGTCGATTGTGCAATGAATTTACGGAGACTGTCCAACACCTTGTCAGTTGGTGCCCTTCTTTGGCACAAACAGCATATCTTAAACGACATGACGGCATGGCTTGATGCTTTTACTACCGTCTTCGCTATGCATGCCTGTGGTTTTGACTCCGAGGTCCATCCATGGTACGACCCTGAACATGTCCAGGGCGTCATGGAAAATGATGCTTTGAAGTTTCTCTGGAATAGGCCCATATACAGCCTCAGAGGAATTCCTGCCAACAACGTAATCTTGTCCTTTTCGATAAAGGCAATAAATTTATCTATATCATTGAATTTTCTGTCCCTTTTGACAGCAATGTGATTGGCAAGATTAAGGAAAGGCATGCTAAGTATGCAGACCCCGCCTTTGAAATGTCTCGCTGTCATCCCAAGTACACTGTCGTCAGGCTCCCCATTGTTCTCGGTGCCCTAGGTTTGGTACCTCCTGATCTCTTGGCGCAGATCAGGAGAGTGCCCGGGTTCTCCACCGGGAGCACAGCCCTTCTGACACTCTGGGTAATGCAGAAGGCTGCAGTGTTGGGGAGTCTACATATTCTCTTGACTTGGTGGGTACGACTAGGCAGTGTTTCCTGGGAGAAGTCTCATTCGCTGTCTGGGCTGCGTGTGGAGGGGGCAAGAGCCCTGAGCTGATGATGAGCCTTACCAGCCTGACTGTGCCAGGATCACCCGAACCCTCTCTGATGCAAACTATCTTTAATATGGAAAACATAATAAAAAATGCAGTTTCCGTAATGTTGGCGTGATGTGTTCATATTTGTCTGCACCAGTGATGAGTCTTGCTGCTGGTGAGTGTGTTGAGAGTTTGCTGCGATATGCCAAACATCAGAGAGTTGCAATAACCCAATCGCTTGATAACCAGTGCTTGGACGAAAGTCTGGATAGTTGATCTGCCAATGAAATCCTTGATTTGGCTGATGTTTCTCAGATGGAAAAAGGCGGATTTACAGACAGTGTCTGCATGCCGATCCATGCTCAGGGAGAAGTCAAATACATGTATAACTCCGAGGTTTCGAGCTTGAACACTTGGTGATATAGTGCTGTCACCTATCTTTAAGGTTGGCAAATTCATTTTCCCTGATAGAGACCTTGGCCTCAGGATGAAAAGTTCTGTCTTGTCATTGTTCAGATAGTTGGTAGACATCCAACATGTTATGCCGTCGATAGCTTCACTCATTAATGCAAATGTAGACTCAGCAGATGATGTTTTCAGAGGCTTGAAGCCTAGGTACAACTCTGTGTCGTCTATAAAGGTGATACGATAGGTTATGCCGTCTTACCCGTCTAGGGCACTAGCGTCCTCACGCAATTTCCACACCAAGCAATTATACAAGTGTATATATTCCATTATATGTAGTCAGTACATAGTTTGGTACAGAGAGTGGAATTATCAAACAAAACAATTATACAAGTGTATATATTCCATTATATGTAGTCAGTACATAGTTTGGTACAGAGAGTGGAATTATCAAACAAAACAATTATACAAGTGTATATATTCCATTATATGTAGTCAGTACATAGTTTGGTACAGAGAGTGGAATTATCAAACAAAACACAATGGAAAGGAAATGATTTTTTCGTGTTTTGTTTAAAGAAATTGAAAATCGAACGAAATGTTGTTAAATTTGAGTATTGTATTCCAGCAACAGTTTGTGAAATGTGGATGGGTAATTGGACTAGAGTAAAACGCCAGCGTGGAACCATGTGAGCCCTGCCATTCTTTAAATGCTGTAAATTGGAGCCGGAAGAAGAACATTTAAAAATATTCAAAGTAAAATAAGATACCCTTCACTAGTTGAGTATCAAGTGGAGAAGGTATAATTATATATATAATTATGTCAATGAAATGTTAAACAATTAAAAGAATACAGGTGTTGAACTATTCCGTGAGTTCTGACTCAGTTACATTTGTATAAATTATATCGCTAATTTAAGATATTTTTGATTGAAAATCTACCTGTGATGATTCAAGTGAACTCTATATGGTGTTATGTGACACCAAACCAACAGAAGTGGCATTGACGTCCTGGTATATGGGTACATGTTAGCAGGATGTTAGCGCTCTACTGGGGTGGGTACCAGGAATGTTAAGATACAAGAAGGCATCACACGGATGCCGTGACTCGTGGTAAACGTGACTATATCCACATGTGAAATTTGGGCAGCCTGAAACATGTGAGGTGAGGTGAAATTGGGTTTAACGTCGTGCTTGAGAATATTTCGCTCATATGACGACGTGTATGCGTGTGTATGTGTATGTGCGGCTGCTTGTACTAGCTCAGACTGAAGCTGGTTTTATAGTGCTAGCCCACTGAGATACCATGCCGCAGTGAAGCAGGAATACCCCACTCAGACACATTATACTGACTCCGAGCCGACCAGTCCTTGTTGTACCCATTAATGCCGCGCCAGGTAGGGACCAACAAGTACCATATTTTAACGTCTTTTGGTATGACGCGACCGGGGGTCGAACCCGCGACCTTCGGCTCTCCGGGCGGACGCTCTAACCACTACACCACGGAGGCGGTCCCTGAAACATGTAGTTGAGCTGTTTGATTGTGTGAGGCAATGTTCCGACAACATTACCTCACATATAGGAGTCATATGCTGCACCCATTTCGGGATTTGAACCCGGGTCTCGATGTGACAAGCGAAGGTATTAACCACTAGACTACCCCACCACTCGATTTAGCTGACTGTTATTGTATATACCAAACTCCTGGTCGCCGTGTTTCGGGTAGTATTTACAAGGAAGCCAAGTCTCCTCTGTTACTAAATTACATCAGTTCCTCAAATGTAACTGATATCAGAATGTAATGGGACCCTACCTCTACCAGCGTTGTCTGGGTCAGGTGTTGACGATCCCCGGTCTCCTGGTCTCCTCAGGGCGGCTCCGTGTCCCCCCACCTGTCATCCCGTCTCGGTCAGACGGTCGAGCAGTGGACATGACGTGTGTGCTGAATCCAGGATCCTCCATCTCACGTTGGGAGGACGGTGTGTCTTGACCATCGGGCAGCTTACCGTTTCCTGCAATAATGACCAGCGGCTATCTGTTTTGGAGTGAGTGAGTAAGTGAGTTTGGGTTTACGTCGCTTTTAGCAATATTTCCAGCAATATCACGGCGGGGGACACCAGAAACATGCTTCACACTGTGAAATCATATGGGGGATCGAACCCGGACTTTCGGTGGGATAATGGTATGCCCTCAGATAATATCATATAAAATCTGTTCAGTATAGTATTTAATTACTTCCCGTCATAATCAACAGTCAAATATTTGGATTGCTTGATTTATATTTAGACGGGGGCTGTTCTTTAAGGACACCCCCATTTAATCTTTCAAAAACATGGTTCAAGCTGGCCCTACAATATATTGAGAGTTGACACTTGTGTGACCATTCAGTATTTAGTTTGAACCTTTGGCATCATGCATGGATAAGTGAAAACATTAGAATAAGTTATTTCCTTATGATTAGGTCATCTGAAAGGGCGTGGGTAGTGTCTCCAGAACAAGCTCTTTCAGTAAACATGAAGGGGTAATCACTTTAACAAGCGATTGTAGTTTCAAACTGCCTTCTTATGCCCTTTAGTCTTAGTTTGATTCAAACGGACTTCTGCCTATTTCAATTATACAAATGTTTCTTTCATATTTTGTTTCCTGGAGTTTGTGATTTTTGTTTGTTTGTTTGTTTAGTGAAACAAAATGGGCATCGCGAGGCTGAGACATAGCAAAATCAGTTTACTTGAGGTTGACAGATATTATGTAGTAAAGTAGAACATATAAACAGCTGCAGTTGTATCATATTCTAGGTGAGACTGACTACTTTTTGAACGCTCTTCGTACATAAAAAGTCTATGTTAAGATTGACAAGTATAACACGTGCACCATTGGATCTATAATATGGACTATTTAACGTCTCTTGTCCTTCCAAACAGGTCACCTGCATTTCCTGTACACACATCTTCTGAAGCCGAAAGTTAGAAAATGATAATGTTGTCTCTGATTAAAACAACCCAGGAATTAAGTAACATGTTCTCTATCAATATATTTATTAGGATCCAAACCTTTGAGCGGTATTTAGAAGTTGTTGTGATGAACAATGGGGAAAGTTCTATGGATATACAACTTCTTCATTGTCAATGAAGGCGACGTTTTGGTTACGTCATAATCGCGTCATCTACACCGAAACGTCGCCGAAGTTGATAATATAGACGTTGCATATCCACAGAAATATTGATCAACGAGGCAGCAATGGTCGGGCCATTTGTACATCCCACGAGTTGCTTCCCTTAGACCGTGGATGCGACTCCTTAGTTCGTGCATTGTAGTATGTTTCTGTTGAGCTGCTGTGGACTCATATCAGGACGGATTACATATTGATCTCCACATATATGTTCATCCCGTATCAAAGCCGTGTATGTCCAAGGACTACATATTGATCTCCACATATATGTTCACCCCGTATCAAAGCCGTGTATGTCCAAGGATTACATATTGATCTCCACATATATGTTCATCCCGTATCAAAGCCGTGTATGTTCATCTCCCATATATGTTCACCCCGTATCAAAGCCGTGTATGTCCAAGGACTACATATTGATCTCCACATATATGTTCACCCCGTATCAAAGCCGTGTATGTCCAAGGATGATCTCCGTATCAAAGCCGTGTATGTCCAAGGACTACATATTGATCTCCACATATATGTTCACCCCGTATCAAAGCCGTGTATGTCCAAGGACTACATATTGATCTCCACATATATGTTCACCCCGTATCAAAGCCGTGTATGTCCAAGGACTACATATTGATCTCCACATATATGTTCACCCAGTATCAAAGCCGTGTATGTCCAAGGACTACATATTGATCTCCACATATATGTTCACCCCGTATCGAAGCCGTGTATGTCCAATGATCACTGTAGTCTATTAATGCTCATGAAATTGAACAAAATTAACTAATGAGAAATCTTGAAGCCATACCTGAGAGTACGGCAATATTCCGACCCCTGCCATTGTCTCCGCTGCTGCCCCCGGATGGTCTCAGCTGGGAGTGGGAAACACTGACACCTTCAGGAACTATCACGTCTTCATCTCCTGGAGCTCTCCTCACATCCAGAGACCTTGGCGAGTCGCCTGTCAGAAGGATCACCCATAGATTGTAGACTCAACCACTGACGTGATTGTAGAACTCATTAGCCATTGGCCCTTGTACAAAATATGCTCATGTTTATAAATGAATAAACACATCCATTTAACTGTATGTTTCTCTTTTCTTAATTATAACAAAGACTCAACGCCTAAACAATGAAATTTGATATTACCATAACCGTCACGTCCTCCATCAGTGTCGGCACCTCTAGCTTGCAACTGTGCGTGGGACACGTGGGCGTCTTCAGGAACAATGACATCGTCATCCCCAGCGGCCCTGCGTACATTTAGGGAACCTGGAGACCCTTCTGAAAACATTTACACAAAACATCTAATGCAATATCATCCTTCTCAGTTGCTTGATGTTACAATGCATCTTGCTTGTCAGTCCGAGGTAAGCTGTTACATCAGTATGGCGCAGTATTACGGACAATCAGCATTTCAGTATCAGCGGTTTCAAAGGCAAGAAATGGGGCAATGCGTCAGCAGGGTCCGTCTTTGTGGAAGCCTTGACCTCTCTTTTTAATATGTGTTAAATTCATAATAGAAATCTGAAACTTTGTCTGTTTATATTGAGTGAAGTGATATTCGATATTTGAAGCAGGTGAATATATTCTGAATAAATCAACTTCAGTAGATGACATAGTAGCATCGTGGTTCAAATTGCGAAAACATCAACAAGTAATACGGAAAGTAAGTGTTCATCACATATATGAATAACACACTATCCAAACAGATGTATATTGTTCTTACTTGTTCGTCTCCCACCTTCCCCTGCCACGGAGTCCTCGTCAACAGCAGGACGACGTAGTGGTTGTCCGTGTTGATCATACAGTCCCATGCTGTCTGCATCTCCACCGGCCGTCGTGAGTGTTGCTGGCCCCGATCCTTGCAGTTCCCTCTGTGATCTGGCAGCGTCCTTCCCTGGTGGGGCCCCGCCCACGCCGCCACGAGGTGCTGCAATAAGGACAGATTAAGGTTTGAATTGTTTGAATGTATGAATGTACAATTGTACGATGTTACAATGGAGATGCAGACATACCGTGTAGAACCGAAGTCAGATAATTATCAGTTTAAATGGGGGTACAGGCACCGTTATTCATTGATTGAGTATGTGCACTGTTAATTGTGTCTTTCAAGAATCATGCTCTTAGAGACTCTTCAGGTGGACATCATTCAACATTTCTGTTGACAAGCATGCACCTCTGTCCTACCTCTGTGATACCGAGACTCGGAATGTAGGCGGTAGTGATATAAATATAATCCACATACTAATAACTGGTCCTACCTGTACCAGCGTTGTCTGTGTCAGGTGCTGACCCCTGGTCTCCTGGTCTCCTCAGGGCGGCTCCGTGTTCCCCACCTGTCATCCCGTCTCGGTCAGACGGTCGAGCAGTGGACATGACGTGTGTGCTGAATCCAGGATCCTCCATCTCACTTTGGGTGGACGGTGTGTCTTGACCATCGGGCAGCTTGCCGTTTCCTGAAACACATGACCAGAACTCACAGATTGCAATCTGAGAAGCCGATCGTTACTACATTTGTTTGAGGCACCACAGATTGTCTTCGCTTTCAGGTAGACTGATATAAGGTAGACTGATATAAGGTAGACTGATATACAGCAGGCAGACTGATATAAGGTAGACTGATATAAGGTAGACTGATATAAGGTAGACAGATATAAGGTAGACAGATATAAGGTAGACAGATATAAGGTAGACAGATATAAGGTAGACTGATATAAGGTAGACTGATATAAGGCAGGAGACTGATATAAGGTAGACTGATATAGGTAGACAGCAGAGACTGATATAAGGTAGACTGATATAAGGTAGACTGATATAAGGTAGACTGATATAAGGTAGACAGATATAAGGTAGACTGATATAAGGTAGACTGATATAAGGTAGACTGATATAAGGTAGACTGATATAAGGTAGACTGATATAAGGTAGACTGATATACAGCAGGTAGACTGATATAAGGTAGACTGATATAAAGGGTAGACTGATATAAAAGATAGGTAGACTGATATAAGGTAGACTGATATAAGGTAGACTGATATAAAAGGTAGATATAACTGATATAAGGTAGACTGATATAAGGTAGACTGATATAAGGTAGACTGATATAAGGTAGACTGTTATAAGGTAGACTGATATAAGGTAGACTGATATACAGCAGGTAGACTGATATAAGGTAGACTGGTATAAGGTAGACTGATATACAGCAGGTAGATTGATATAAGGTAGATTGATATACAGCAGGTAGACTGATATATGGTAGACTGATATACAGCAGGTAGACAGATATAAGGTAGACTGATATACAGCAGGTAGACTGATATAAGGTAGACTGATATAAGGTAGACTGATATACAGCAGGTAGACTGATATATGGTAGACTGATATACAGCAGGTAGACTGATATAAGGTAGATTGATATAAGGTAGACTGATATAAGGTAGACTGATATACAGCAAGGTCTGTTATCTAGTGTCAACCCTGCTATGGAATTTGACAAATTTGTACTGCACGACCGTTATTACTTCCGGGTTGTCTTAAACGTTCAGCTAACATGACACATACTTATTTAACACGTATCATGATATAAAACACCAGGATCTATCACATCATTGTATAACACATATCATGATATAACCCACTGTTATATAACATACATCCTGATATAAGACACTGTTGTATAACATATATCATGATATAATACACTGAGATCTACCACACCACGATATAACAGTCACTTATTCAGATATAAACATACTGTGTTGGGAAATCAGAGGTATATAACCCAATTGAAACTACTCTAAAATCGATTTAAAACCTTACTCTACGCGTTCGGTTTTAAATAAAAATGTTTATCTCCATTGTGCCATAATCGCGTTACTAAGATTTTAAAAACGAACTATTTACCGTCGCGACAGTGCTGCTGCGCTAATCGGATTAGAGATATATAACGTGACTATATACATCAGAATGACTGTTAATAACCAATCGCAGTCCAGTATTTACTGAAGTCATGGAAGAACATAGTATAACATGTGATAACACACCATAATACAATACACAATGCTAGACCACAGAATTATACAACCCATCGTTAAATAACACAGCATGACATAACACCCCATCATACAACCAACTCATTTTTAAGGTGACCTGAAGCACACTCACTCACTTCAAGGAAATCAACACTGATTTATAGACGGGGTTTCGTGAGGACGAGAATATCGTGAAGATTCAACACTGCCTAGTTCAACAAACTGGCACGCGTCTATTGTAGCCTGTTAAAAACAATAAACATTTCGCCCATTTCAACATTAATCCATACCTTGAGGCATTACCTCAAGCTCTGGACTACCTACCTGAGAGTACGGCAATATTCCGACCCCTGCCATTGTCTCCGCTGCTGCCCCCGGATGGTCTCAGCTGGGAGTGGGAAACACTGACACCTTCAGGAACTATCACGTCTTCATCTCCTGGAGCTCTCCTCACATCCAGAGACCTTGGCGAGTCGCCTGTGAGAAGGATCACCCAAAGATTATAGACTCAACCACTGACGTGATTGTAGAACTCATTAGCCATTGGCCCTTGAACAAAATATGCTCATGTTTATAAATGAATAAACACATTCTTTTAACATGTAATTTTTTAATACAATTGATATTTTATACTTATCCTGACTCATGCTCTTTTGCTTGTCTCCTTCCTCTTGCGAACTATAGTGGAACACTTGAATCCCCTTTTGAAGCTCCCTTCAAAAAAGCAGACGTAAAATCACTCACCCCACGAGTAACCTCCCTTTGCCCTTTGGCGCCCTTATTAGTCACCTGACCAGCCAAGCTTGTCACACTCTCCGTATATGAGCCCGACACCCAGATTACCGGAAAATCCAGAGTGTCCAGAGGGGAGGTTGGGAGGGCTGACCTCATGAGTCAGGATAAGTATAAAATATCTATTTTATTCAAATTACAGATCCTTATCCTGACTCCTGCTCTTTTGCTTGTAGAATCCGACGGAACCGGTGGTGGTGGGTCAGGCCACTTCTGAATTCATCGGTTGTAGATTTACGTCCTGCATACCCCCCGTGGGAACTTCTGATGGCACTTGTGCTGATCCTGTTTTCTTCTAGCTTCCTCTGATGAGTCTTGGGGGGACCACAACGTCTTCTCCTGACATTATGTGTGGATTTATGCAACTCCCTGTCATGATGCTCGCATCAAGTGGAGAAGCGACCCTTCTTCATGTACGAGTATGTCCTTTACAAGTACAGGGCCTATCACTCATGCTGGTCTGTCCTAGACGTTCGCATGGACTCTAAAGCTCTAGCTCTCCAGAGCGTTGGCTTTTATAAGTCCCGTGATAAAAGGGTGAGATTCATCTCAGCGCCTTTGAGGAACCGTCAATTGTTGTGCTACAACAAGAGGCCCAAACTGGTGAATGCCAGAGACGTCCTCGGTAGCAATGTCTTTGAGGTAGTTGTTGGCAAACACCGTCTCCGACTTCCAAAGCAGCCCTCCATTATTGTCGAGATGGAGCAGTTTCCATACCGAGCGAGTGTCGATGCCAGCGCTCTGACTTCATGAGGGTTGGAGGCTCGTGGAGGCTCAAGTCCTGCTGCTTTGTAAGCTCTGAGGATGACGGCTCTCATCCATATCGATATCATCATACGTGTGACCTCTGTAGGCGTCTCCGTAGATAGAGGGATGAAAAGGCGCTTGAATTTTCGTCTCCTCGTCTTAGACCTTTGTAGGTAGACTTTCAATGCTCTGACTGGGCATACGGATAGGTTCTGAGTATCCTGTGGCCCAAGGACTGTCGAGAGTGCCAGGATGTGGAACTGTCTGTCTGGTTAACCAGGCAGTTGTTCTTTGCTATGAAGTCCCATCTCAATCCCAGATGTACGATGTTGCGATGTGCATCAAATTGTGTTCGTTCAAAGTCCAGAGCATGTATTTCTGACATCCAAGCTGCTGTTAGCAAGGCGATCAGGAACAGAGTTTTGTGTGTTAAAAAATCATAGGATGTCCTTTCTAATGGTTCGTAAACGTCACTGGTGAGATGATGCAAGACTACGTTGAGATCCCAAGCAAGCGCTTTAAATTTCTTTTGATGGTCGTCCAGCTTAAAGGAGCATAGTAGAGCTAGTATCTCTGGTACTTTGGTCAGCTTAACACCCGTCTTCATGGTGATAACTGTGCTGAGGGCCGCTAGGTATGTAGAGAGTGTTGAACCTTTTAACCGCCTCGTTTGTCTTAGATGACAAAGGTATTCCGCCACTTGAGGATGTGTTGCTTTCATCGCCTTCCTCAATGCATATTTCTCAAAACTCTGCCACTTGTCGTCCTCTGCCACAAGTTGCGGTTTGATCTACGTAGAGCTAGTGTCACTGCTTTCGCTGCTCTGGCGGAATATCCTCTTTTCTTCAAGCAAGTCTTGATACGTTCCATGCGTGTAGCTGGAATACTGTTGGATTCCCGTGTGCTTGCTTGGTGTGCGGATGAATCAGTAGGTTCGACCACTCTGGGAGTTGCAGTATTGGACTTCCAAGTTCTTGTATGAGGATGGGAAACCACACCCTCGCTGACCAATAAAGCGTGACCAAGATCAGTTGCAGCTTCCTCGTCTGCTTGATTCTCTGCAACACCTTCGATATTAGAGCTGGAGGTGGAAACGCGTAAGCGTTTAGTCCTTCCTAGCAGATGCTTAGAGCATCTCTTGCCCATGCTTGAGGATCGGGAATCGGGAAGACGAATGTTGGCAGCTGTTTGTTGATTTTTTGTAGTGAACAGGTGTATTAGCGGAGATCCTATTGTTTGTATGATGCATCTGAAGGCTTCTGGGTGTAGCATCCATTCCGTCAGGGATGGTTGTGTTGGACGAGAAAGAGCGTCTGCTATCACATTCTTGGTTCCGGGGAACGTGGCATGCAATATGTAGATGTTCAGGTCATCTATTATTATGCTGAATAGATGAAAACTGAGGTCTAGAAGATTCTTGACCTTTTTGATCCTTGTTTGTTGATGTAGAACGCCTCTGTCGAGTTGTCCGTGTGGATCATCAGGTTTGCGTTCCTTAATATGCTGGACCAGTGTAGTAAGGCGTTTATTACTGCTTTCATCTCTAGCATGTTGATGTGCCGACTCTGCTCCTGATTCGACCATTTCCCTGCTGCCACTTCGTTGTCGAGGTGAGCTTCCCAGTCTTGAGGTGATGCATCTACGTAGAGATGAGTGTTGCACCTAGTCCACCATAGAAGATATGGTTTCAATCCGTCCGGTAGTCCGAAGGAGTCCAGACTGTTGAGATGGGCATTCACAAACACTTATAGTGGGCGCAATTGTAGACTTCCTCTGCAATTCATGTCTTGTGCTGATGTGAAACGACGAAGTAGGCTCGGCCAACTTCGTAGTGGTAACGGAGAAAGTAGTACTTGAGATACCATGGCTTGTATTTAGACCCAACGATCCTGTGAGAAGACCATGCGATTCTGTGGTGAGGTGAACATCTTCCCAGAAATCTGCTCATATCCTACGATGTAGGTAAGTAGACAGTGGAACCCTTGCCATGTCCGTAATGGAAGCGGAGCAATGTCCGGTTCTGGAATCATGACTTGAAGTTTATTTCTACAATCTTCCGATAATATGTCAAGAAGACTTGTCCCCGGAACCCCAACAAATTGCAGTGATGATGCATAATTTGTGTACTGGAACTGCCATCGCTTTGAAATCTATTTATAGTAGACTGGCTGCCGTGAGCAGAATCGTCAAACGTATGTTGCTGCAAATCGCCGGATAAACAATCTTCAATCTGCTGACAGGGAAGGTCATTATGACCCGTGAAGACAGTCGAAACACGCTGTACCCTGCTAACTGGACTGTAAATGGAGCCTTCCTCCCACGTTGAAAAGTTGTTTCCAACTGTAGACGACTTCATGGTACGTGAGCTATGCACGACTTCTGCGCAGGGTGTTGTCTCTCATGGACCAATCAATTTGCAGCATTTGATTCATCTCAGATTCCCCCAATGTGACGTCACTGGTGTGGCAGGAAAAAGATCCTTGTAAAATCTTGTGCAGTCGTTGATTTCTTCATCAACACTCGGCCTTGTCCGTAACCTCCCGGAGTTACATGAATGAACACGTGTATAGCAGGCTAAGTGGAAAACACGCGAAAGATTTCGCCGCGTAATACCGATGTACGTAGGCTGTCGCCCTGGCTGTTGTGACTTTTCCCTTCTTCACTGAAGATAATGCAGTCGTCATCTTATACAGGTGATCAGCTGAAGTTCCATATTTGCTTAATGCTGATACCTGTAGACTGTCGTCATCGGTCTCAATGAAGCTCCGTAAAATAACGTGTTGAATACACAATGGTTCTTGTAGAGTTGATACTTCGCTACGATGAGCATGAAAAACGATGTCACGCTGAGGACTGCGACAATGCCAATGCTAGGCCAGTGATAACTGTCAAGCTGTCTCTTTCCTCACAAGAGTCAAGCCCGCTGATGTTGGATCTGTCTAGCCCAAAACAAGTACGTCTAGTAGTTGTGTAAGTTCTGCAATGGGAGTCGTTGATGATCTTGTAGTTCTCATCAATCTCTGGAGCCTTCGTGAAGGGTTCCATCTGAAGTAGTGGGAATTTCCTGGCGTTGAACGTGGGGACATGTTGACTGTGGAACTTCGTAGCCTTACCAAGGCCGCGTTGAGATTCTCCGATACTTGAGCAATCAGTCGATAGGTAAAAGGTGAACGTATCAATTCAACGTTAGATATCTTGTACGTGTGTGCTTCTGATCCACGCCCACGTGAGTCACTGCCTGCCTGAAGACCTGCCTGAAGACCAGAGAGCAGGTGAATTTTCCATGTATCGGAGAATATAATTCCACTATCATCTTCATATCTAGATGCCTCTTGTTCTGAAGACCGTTGCCGTTGTGCTTCCTCCCTACGTGGAGATCTGCGTGGAGACATTCGCGAATGCCTTCGTTGAGACGTGCGTGGAGTGAAGATCTTCCTGAAGACCTGCGCGAAGGAGACCGATCCGTATAATAGATCTTCTCTGGAGTCTTGAGACGTATTTTTGCACCTTAGTGAAGGTGTAGATTCTCTTCTGTGGGATGTGAGGTACGTTCGCGCAGGTCCCTGATGGCTGTCCGATCTGAGGTCGAGGATGATCTGCGATGCTCCGGTGAACGTCTGGTTCTCCTTCGTGAATGCTCCTTCTCTACTGCAGGCTCATCGTTGTCTGGGCTGACAGGTTTCTGGGGAAGTTGCCGTGGATGACTGTTAAGTGTGTGATCCTTCACGAACGTTCCCTTCTTCACGCAGGTTGCCATCTTCAATCGGATGCGCTCTGCAGGCTGCTTGTTCTTCGTGCAGGTTCGTCGTAGATGGGGTCTTCGCCGCAGCCTTCTCCTGCGCGAACCTCGGCTCCATCAGGTCCATCATCTGCTGAGTAAACTGCTGCATGAAGATACCCGGGTTGAAATTCTGCGCTGACAACTGCTGCTGCAAAGATGACGACACATCTGCGAGTGCTGAGGTTTCTTCCAAGGCCTGCCTGTCGTCTCTGGTCTCTGAAGTCTGCGTTGACAGGACGTCAGACTGCGTTGAGATGACTGCTGACGTCACAGTAGAAGAGGACCTCGTCTTCTTCTTAACTGCTACCTCAGGAATCAGGATGTTAGGACGTCTGACTGCGTTGAGATGACTGCTGACGTCACTGTAGAAGAGGACCTCGTCTTCTTCTTAACTGCTACTTCAGGAATCAGGATGTTAAGACATCTGACTGCATTGCGATGACTGCTGACGTCACAGTAGAAGAGGACCTCGTCTTCTTAACTGCTACTTCAAGAATCAGGATGTTAAGACATCTGACTGCATTGCGATGACTGCTGACGTCACAGTAGAAGAGGACCTCGTCTTCTTCTTAACTGCTACCTCAGGAATCAGGATGTTAGGACGTCTGACTGCGTTGAGATGACTGCTGACGTCACTGTAGAAGAGGACCTCGTCTTCTTCTTAACTGCTACCTCAGGAATCAGGATGTTAGGACGTCTGACATCAGGATGGGCGGCTCATCGTATACATCTGCTTCGTCCGAAGGGGTAGATCTCTGCGGCGAAAGACCTCGTCTTCTCCGCCGCCCCATAGGAAGACTTCGTCAAAGTCTCATCTGCAGACGACTTCTTCTTCTCAGAAGACGATGCCCTGGTCTTCTTAGACTGTGACAAAGGTAGTTGTGATGATGATGATCTCTTCCTGGATCCGGAGCTGCCATCTGCCACAGTCACAAGCTCTGTAGTAGCAACCGGTAAATCACTGGAATGGTGAATCTCATCAGACAGCAATAAACGGTTATCAACGCATTCACTTTGTTTAGACATGACTTGTAAAAGTCGTCTAGACCTGTCCTTGGCACGTCTAAGAATAAAATATAAATAATTATTAAATTCAATTTCAGATAATTGCTCACAAAGTTTACAGCGAAGGCTGGAAGTAGAAGTGCGATTAGGACATAATAAATGCGGATCTGCAACCGACAAACGAACCTGCAACGAATGCAAAATTTCATCACTTGTAAACAAAATGAAAAATCATGTCAACAACGTGAATAAACAAATAATTTGGACAAAATTTCAAACCATATTGCTGGTATATCCTTCCTAAATGCCGTATACAGCAAATTTAGTAGTAAATGCCTAAATATAAAAGGATATAGTGCCGTATAGGGGACCCAGGCGCTCTCACAACCGACCTCTAGGGCGAAGAAGGAGAGAGTGACAAGCTTGGCTGGTTAGGTGACCAAAATGGCCCCAAAGGGCAAAGGGAGGCTACCCTTCGGGTGAGTGATTTTACGTCCACTTTTTTTAAGGGAGCTTCGAAAGGGGATTCAAGTGTTCCAGTATAGTTCACAAGAGGAAGGAGACAAGCAAAAGAGCATGAGTCAGGATAAGGAAAAACTGTATGTTTCTCTTTTCTTAATTATAACAAAAGACTCAACGCCTAAACAATGAAATTTGATATTACCATAACCGTCACGTCCTCCATCAGTGTCGGCACCTCTAGCTTGCAACTGTGCGTGGGACACGTGGGCGTCTTCAGGAACAATGACATCGTCATCCCCAGCGGCTCTGCGTACATTTAGGGAACCTGGAGACCCTTCTGAAAACATTTACACAAAACATCTAATGCAATATCATCCTTCTCAGTTGCTTGATGTTACAATGCATCTTGCTTGTCAGTCCGAGGTAAGCTGTTGCATCAGTATGGCGCAGTATTACGGACAATCAGCATTTCAGTATCGGTGGTTTCAAAGGCAAGAAATGGGACAATGCATCAGCAGAGTCCGTATTTGTGGAAGCCTTGACCTTTCTTTTTGATATGTGTTAAATTCATAATAGAAATCTGAAACTTTGTCTGTTTATATTGAGTGAAGTGATATTCGATATTTGAAGCAGGTGAATATATTCTGAATAAATCAACTTCAGTAGATGACATAGTAGCATCGTGGTTCAAATTGCGAAAACATCAACAAGTAACACGGAAAGTAAGTGTTCATCACATATATGAATAACACACTATCCAAACAGATGTATATTGTTCTTACTTGTTCGTCTCCCACCTTCCCCTGCCACGGAGTCCTCGTCAACAGCAGGACGACGTAGTGGTTGGCCGTGTTCGTCATACAGTCCCATGCTGTCTGCATCTCCACCGGCCGTCGTGAGTGTTGCTGGCCCCGATCCATGCAGTTCCCTCTGTGATCTGGCAGCGTCCTTCCCTGGTGGGGTCCCGCCCACCCCGCCACGAGGTGCTGCAATAAGCACAGATAAAGGTTTGAATTGTTTGAATGTATGAATGTACAATTGTACGATGTTACAGTGGATATGCAGACATACCGTGTAGAACCGAAGTCAGATAATAATCAGTTTAAATGGGGGTACAGGCACCGTTATTCATTGATTGAGTATGTGCACTGTTAATTGTGTCTTTCAAGAATTATGCTCTTAGAGACTCTTCGGGTGGACATCAGACAACATTTCTGTTGACAAGCATGCACCTCTGTCCTACCTCTGTGATACCGAGACTCGGAATGTAGGCGGTAGTGATATAAATATAATCCACATACTAATAACTGGTCCTACCTGTACCAGAGTTGTCTGTGTCAGGTGCTGACGATCCCCGGTCTCCTGGTCTCCTCAGGGCGGCTCCGTGTTCCCCACCTGTCATCCCGTCTCGGTCAGACGGTCGAGCAGTGGACATGACGTGTGTGCTGAATCCAGGATCCTCCATCTCACTTTGGGAGGACGGTGTGTCTTGACCATCGGGCAGCTTGCCGTTTCCTGAAACACATGACCACAACTCCAAGATTGCAATCTGAGAAGCCGATCGTTACTACATCTGTTTGAGGCACCACAGATATAGTCTTCGCTTTCAGGTAGACAGATATAAGGTAGACTGATATAAGGTAGACTGATATACAACAGGTAGACTGATATAAGGTAGACTGATATAAGGTAGACTGATATAAGGTAGACTGATATAAGGTAGACTGATATAAGGTAGACTGATATAAGGTAGACAGATATAAGATAGACTGATATAAGGTAGACTGATATAAGGTACACTGATATAAGATAGACTGATATAAGGTAGACTGATATACAACAGGAAGACTGATATAAGGTAGACTGATATAAGGTAGACTGATATAAGGTAGACAGATATAAGGTAGACTGATATAAGGTAGACTGATATAAGGTAGACAGATATAAGGTAGACTGATATAAGGTAGACAGACTGATATAAGGTAGACTGATATAAGGTAGACTGATATAAGGTAGACTGATATAAGGTAGACTGATATACAACAGGTAGACTGATATAAGGTAGACTGATATAAGGTAGACTGATATAAGGTAGACTGATATACAACAGGTACACTGATATAAGGTAGACTGATATAAGGTAGACTGATATAAGGTAGACTGATATAAGGTAGACTGATATAAGGTAGACTGATATATGGTAGACTGATATAAGGTAGACAGACTGATATAAGGTAGACTGATATAAGGTAGACTGATATAAGGTAGACTGATATACAACAGGTAGACTGATATAAGGTAGACTGATATAAGGTAGACTGATATAAGGTAGACTGATATAAGGTAGACTGATATAAGGTAGACTGATATACAGCAGAGAGACTGATATAAGGTAGACTGATATAAGGTAGACTGATATAAGGTAGACTGATATAAGGTAGACTGATATAAGGTAGACTGATATAAGGTAGACAGATATAAGGTAGACTGATATAAGGTAGACTGATATAAGGTAGACAGATATAAGGTAGACTGATATAAGGTAGACTGATATAAGGTAGACTGATATAAGGCAGACAGACTGATATAAGGTAGACTGATATAAGGTAGACTGATATAAGGTAGACTGATATAAGGTAGACTGATATAAGGTAGACTGATATACAACAGGTAGACTGATATAAGGTAGACTGATATAAGGTAGACTGATATAAGGTAGACTGATATACAACAGGTACACTGATATAAGGTAGACTGATATAAGGTAGACGGATATAAGGTAGACTGATATAAGGTAGACTGATATCAGGTAGACTGATATATGGTAGACTGATATACAACAGGTAGACTGATATAAGGTAGATTGATATAAGGTAGACTGATATAAGGTAGACTGATATACAACAGGTACACTGATATAAGGTAGACTGATATAAGGTAGACTGATATAAGGTAGACTGATATAAGGTAGACAGATATAAGGTAGACTGATATAAGGTAGACTGATATAAGGTAGACTGATATAAGGCAGACTGATATAAGGTATACTGATATACAACAGGTAGACTGATATAAGGTAGACTGATATAAGGTAGACCGATATACAACAGGTACACTGATATAAGGTAGACTGGATATAAGGTAGACAGATATAAGGTAGACTGATATAAGGTAGACTGATATAAGGTAGACTGATATAAGGTAGACTGATATACAGCAGGTAGACTGATATAAGGTAGACTGATATAAGGTAGACTGATATAAGGTAGACTGATATAAGGTAGACTGATATAAGGTAGACTGATATAAGGTAGACTGATATAAGGTAGACTGATATAAGGTAGACTGATATAAGGTAGACTGATATACAACAGGTAGACTGATATAAGGTAGACTGATATAAGGTAGACTGATATAAGGTAGACTGATATAAGGTAGACTGATATACAACAGGTAGACTGATATAAGGTAGACTGATATAAGGTAGACTGATATAAGGTAGACTGATATAAGGTACACTGATATAAGGTAGACATATAAGGTAGATTGATATACAGCTGGTAGACTGATATAAGGTAGACTGATATACAGCAAGGTCTGTTATCTAGTGTCAACCCTGCTATGGAATTTGACAAATTTGTAAACTGCACGACCGTTATTACTTCCGGGTTGTCTTAAACGTTCAGCTGACATGACACATAGTTATTTAACACATATCATAATATAAAACACCAGGATCTATCACATCATTGTATAAGACATATCATGGTATAACCCACTGTTATATAACATTCATCGTGATATAATACAGTGTTATATAACATATATCATGGTATGACACGCTGACTGACTGAGGTTAGTTTTACGCCGCTTTTATTCCAGCAATATCACGGTGGGGGACACCAGAAATGGGCTTAACACTTTGTGCCTATGTGGGGAATCGATCCCGGATCCTCGGCGTGACGAGCCAACGCTTTAACCACTAGGCTACCCCACCGCCCATATAACACGCTGAGATCTACCAATCCACGATATAACAGTCAATAATTCAGATATAAACATTCTGTTTTGGGAAATCAGAGGTATATATAACCCAACTGAAACGACTCTAACATCGATTTAAAACCTTACTCTACGCGTTTGGTTTTAAATAAAAATGTTTATCTCCATTGTGCCATACTCGCGTTACTTAGATTTTAAAAACGAACTATTTACCGTCGCGACGGTGCTGCTGCGCTAATCGGTTCAGAGATATATAACGTGACTATATACCTCAGAATGACTGTTAATAACCAATCGCAGTCCAGTATTTACTGAAGTCATGGAAGAATATAATATAACATGTGATAACACACCATAAAATAATACACAATGCTATACCACAGAAGTATACAACCCATCATTAAATAACACAGCATGACATAACACCCCATCATATAACTAACTAATTTGGTGACCTGAAGCACACTCACTCACTTCAAGGAAATCAACACTGATTTATAGACGGGGTTTCGTGAGGACGAGAATATCGTGAAGATTCAACACTGCCTAGTTCAACAAACTGGCACGCGTCTATTGTAGCCTGTTAAAAACAATAAACATTTTGCCCATTTCAACATCAATCCATACCTTGAGTCATTACCTCAAGCTCTGGACTACCTACCTGAGAGTACGGCAATATTCCGACCCCTGCCATTGTCTCCGCTGCTGCCCCCGGATGGTCTCAACTGGGAGTGGGAAACACTGACACCTTCAGGAACTATGACGTCTTCATCTCCTGGAGCTCTCCGCACATCCAGAGACCTTGGCGAGTCGCCTGTGAAAAGGATCACCCAAAGACTTGTACAGAGTATCAGGCGATATGCGTACAGAGAGCCACTGACTTGATCTGGACATAGCCACAAAATATGGGGAATACCATGAACAAACATCCCCAACCCAATCCGAGTATAAATAGCATTTTACTGAGTCAAATTCCTCTTTTTAATGAGCCTTGGCTTATAGAAACTAAAGTGTTATTTCACATGTGTTGTTCCAAGTGAACATCCAACAACAATTTAAGCTGTCGTGTTCCAATATTTGATATTAACGTCACCTTCACGTGTGTCGGCACCTCTAGCTTGCAACTGTGCGTGGGACACGTGGGCGTCTTCGGGAACAATCGCATCCTCGTCCCCAGCGGCTCTACGTACATTCAGGGAACCTGGAGACCCTTCTGAAAAATATCACGTTTTAAAATGATAACTTCATGATCAACAATCAGTAGGCATCGTTATATTGAGAATTTTACATCTCATACTGTCGTCAAGTGGAGATATCGTTGCAACCCTTTGTTCCTGTGACGTCACAATTATATGACGTCAATTATCCTGTCGTCATTGAAGCGGTAGATAAATAGAGAATACTACACGAGGTCTCATTACATACGAATTATACGAAATTATACGAATTATACGAATTATAGCGAAAGCGAGGTCAAATAACATAGGAAGGTCACGAGTTTCGTAAAATTCGTATGTAATGAGACCGAGTGTGGTATTTTATTTATTACCCACGTCTTACATGCATTAAATTGAAAAATAGTGTATTTTTGTTAATATTTTGGTTTCAAACCGAAACCGATTTCATAAAGAGGTTGCGGAAGAGTTTTGTACTATAGTACAATATTTGCATGACGTCACACTGTAATGACGTCACTGCCTTGGTAACCGACGTCATGATTCATGTCAGTTGTCATCGCCTCGTACAGCCTCCTACAGTAAACTACTCCGTAGCACCCCGCTTCTTGGTTTGCAGTTGCTACATTCGGCTAACATCACTGGTGGAAACATTGCGTTTATGTTTTTCGACGGATATAATGTCTCAGTTCGACTCACAATTAAACAGCGACACGGCAACGTTCGCGATGTTTACATTCCCACAATGCATTTAAGTTGTAGAATGAATGAATTCACGTGTTTGTTATGAATGAAAAAATAGTTACGTCAGAATGTGACCTAATTGAGAGGTCATCGGTTATCCAATCAAATCGTTAGAATCTCAGGTCAAGTCGTTACGACACAGGTCAACGCGATACGACACTCGTGTGACGTACGAGATTAGTATGCAACTACCCATACGTTGACCACGTGGGTAATAATACTGTTTACAACATACCGGTGAAAACTGTTTACAAACTGATAAATGTGGATTAGGTAGAACAGATAGAACTTCGTCATTTTGTCATTTGTGATCAAATATGCCTGTATTGGTCAATGATAGATTGATTCCACGTCATGCCCCGGAACTTGTTACTGCTGCAGTAACACGAACACATACACAGGCGTGATTCTCTGTATTTTCTGGTAAGCATAGGTCAAAAGGTCAAAAGGTCAAGGAACAAGCAATGCGTTAAACATTTTGGGAACACCCGGAATATATTGACGCTGTAAAAATGAGATACCTGTAAATGAAAAGTGAGGTAACAGATGAGCGCAGGTTTATTCTAGTGAACAGACACAAGACGGACATACACTCAGGGTGTGGGGTGTGGTTGTGGTGGTGGCGGTGGGAATATACCCACGCCTTAACTGAGCATCCGGCAAAGGTAACTGTTGGAGGAATGTTCCACTTATTGGTCTCCAAACTCGCTTTCGTGTGACTACTGGATCCTTTCCCAGGTCCTAACATTCTAGCACAATCGAGCAAAATGCCACTCCAGACGCTGTCTTTGAGTCATCGTTAGACGCCTGATTATCCTTCGGGGCATCAAACCAACAGCTCTGAGACGTCTATGCACTGTCCGGGTTGCCAAACGTCTGTTGCATCAAACCAACAGCTCTGAGACGTCTATGCACTGTCCGGGTTGACAAACGTCTGTTGCTTCAAGGAAACAGCTCTGAGACGTCTATGCACTGTCCGGGTTGACAAACGTCCTGGTTGACAAACGTCTGTTCCTTCAAGCCAACAGCTCTGAGACGTCTATGCACTGTCCGGGTTGACAACGTCTGTTGCTTCAAACCAACAGCTCTGAGACGTCTATGCAATGTTCTGGTTGACAAACGTCTGTTGCTTCAAACCAACAGCTCTGAGACGTCTATGCAATGTCCGGGTTGACAAACGTCAGCTGCTTGAAACCAACAGCTCTGAGACGTCTATGCAATGTCCTGGTTGACAAACGTCTGTTGCTTGAAACCAACAGCTCTGAGACGTCTATACACTGTCCGGGTTGACAAACGTCTGTTGCATCAAACCAACAGCTCTGAGACGTCTATGCACTGTCCTGTCCGGGTTGACAAACGTCTGTTGCTTGAAACCAACAGCTCTGAGACGTCTATACACTGTCCGGGTTGACAAACGTCTGTTGCATCAAACCAACAGCTCTGAGACGTCTATGCACTGTCCGGGTTGACAAACGTCTGTAGCTTCAAGGAAACAGCTCTGAGACGTCTATACACTGTCCGGGTTGCCAAACGTATGTTGCTTCAAACCAACAGCTCTGAGACGTCTATGCACCGTCCTGGTTGACAAACGTCTGTTGCTTCAAGCCAACAGCTCTGAGACGTCTATACACTGTCCGGGTTGACAAACGTTTGTTGCTTCAAACCAACAGCTCTGAGACGTCTAAGCAATGTTCTGGTTGACAAACGTCTGTTGCTTCAAACCAACTCTCCGGGTTGACAAACGTTTGTTGCTTCAAACCAACAGCTCTGAGACGTCTATACACTGTCCGGGTTGACAAACGTCTGTTGCTTCAAACCAACAGCTCTGAGACGTCTATGCACTGTCCGGGTTGACAAACGTCTGTTGCTTCAAACCAACAGCTCTGAGACGTCTTTGCACCGTCCGGGTTGACAAACGTCTGTTTCTTCAAATGACTGTTCATGGGTTCACGCCTCACCGAAAGGCGAAGGTTGCGGTCCACTACTGGAGTGGTGTTGCTGGGTTACTCTGTCCTCGATCGATCCTTGACAGCAGCTCCTGTCTGTTGGTGTTTCCGGACAAGTCTACTGATGATAGAGTGACAGTAACCAAGCTGACACCCGGTGGCCTTCAATAACCTGCCAGCTGCATGCATACCCACCATTTGCCATCTCAATGCCAATTAAAGTCCTCTCCTCGATATGTTAGGCGAGTAAAGGAGTGAGTGAGTGAGTGAGTGAGTTGGGTTATACGCCGCTTTTAGCAATATTCCAGCAACATCACGGCGGGAGACACCAGGGAGTGATGGAAGGCATGTTCACAAGTAATGCATTAATCAACGGCCACGCATAGATACTGCTGGTCAGCCCTTCAGTGGGTAAAATTCTTCACATGGGTTTTGTTTGCGGATTGACAAACACCTTAAACTGAAACTTTGTTTTTCATTGCTTGAAGTGTGCACGTAAACAATGGCATCAATGGCATATCATCATCCATAGCTACATCACAAGGATGAAACTTGTCATGGGGTGCCTAAGCACGTTTCATGTGTATATATTGTTCTTACTTGTTCGTTTATTTACATGACTACGGAGAACATCAAAGAGAATCAGTTGGCACCGTTATATCATGAATGTATCTTCCAAAACTGGTCCCAGAAGAGATAGGCTACATTGAATAATGAACATTAAGATTATACTATTTTTGATGCTGTATATTTTTTTCTTTATCTCCAGTATTTGATAATATAAAAACAAGATTACTTAACGTTTTGCATAATGACACACTATCCAAACAGATGTATAATATTGTTCTTACTTGTTCGTCTCCCACCTTCCCCTGCCAGGGAGTCCTCGTCAACAACAGGACGACGTAGTGGTTGTCCGTGTTGATCATACAGTCCCATGCTGTCTGCATCTCCACCGGCCGTCGTGAATGTTGCAGGCCCCGATCCTTGCAGTTCCCTCTGTGATCTGGCAGCGTCCTTCCCCTGGTGTGGGCCCGTCTTTTCCATTATGCAGTCCTGCCAAGATTATTGTGCCCATGCATTAACGACATATCTACTGCAGAGGCGACTCTTCATTCACACCTTCGTTACATTTACGTAATATTTAATATTTCTGAGAACCGTCAAATGAATACAATCATGAGTATTGTCTCTGTGCATTAACGACATTAATTATACATGATGGCGACGCAGGAGGAGACAACTCTTCTTCCACACCTACGTAATATTTCAGATAAATTTGTTCAGAATATATAACTATGACTTATGTGTGTGAGTGAGTATTGTTTGCCTCTCTTGGAAAAGAGTTCCAGTAATATAACGGTGGGGTTAAAAGCCATGTGTGGCGTCATCAAGCGCTGACTTTCATGAGGAGTCAAACTGTTTCCAAACCAGGAACACCAACACCTACATGAGTTAAGATCTCTTCATGATTAGTTACTCAATAATGCCTGTACTGTCGAGCTTAGATTTGGTCCTACTTTCAGCTTGTTTTAAAAGTTGTGATCCATTGATAACATAAGGGTACCTGCATCACCGTCATGTCCGCCGACACCTTTGGCTTGCAACTGTGCGTGGGACACTTGGGCGTCTTCAGGAACAATGACATCGTCATTCCCAGCGGCTCTACGTACATTTAGGGAACCTGGAGACCCTTCTGAAAAAAATATCACAGTTCTGCAGTGACCATCTGAAAGTATTCTCCAAGATAACATAGTCAATGAGTAACTGATTCGGATTCGTTTACCAATATCAACGACGTTCCTGCGACGCCACAGTGTGTGTGCGGAGAAAAGCCAAATCAATGATCTTCACTAGCTATAGCCACTTTGATGGCAACCATTATCATGGACAGAACGGCAGCTGTTGTTTGTTCAGACCACAAGATTGTTTCATGTTTTGGATCATGTCACACTATCCAAACAGATGTATATTGTTCTTACTTGTTCGTCTCCCACCTTCCCCTGCCAGGGAGTCCTCGTCAACAACAGGACGACGTAGTGGTTGTCCGTGTTGATCATACAGTCCCATGCTGTCTGCATCTCCACCGGCCGTCGTGAGTGTTGCTGGCCCCGATCCTTGCAGTTCCCTCTGTGATCTGGCAGCGTCCTTCCCTGGTGGGGCTCCGTCTTTTCCATTCCGCAGTCCTGCCAAGATTAATGTCCGTTTAATACCAACAATATATATGATGGAGACGTCACTAGCCCCGCCCACTCCACCACGTGTTGCTTCCAACAATGTTGTTGTCGTTTGTTAACAGCACACGTGGTGGAGGTGTTGGGACAGGCGGCTCTTCCCTTTCATAATTATTACATTTCAGTTCAAGGAATTGGAATTCGGGGGTCGGTCATGGTTTCGGCAGGGACACTGGTCGTACTACACTGCACGTGGTCGACAGTCATCTTACCGGACAGCGTTACCGGGACGAGATTCTGGCTCCTATAACAGTGCCATTCCTGCACGCTATGCAGGGCTTTTATGGCCGACCCTCTCTACTGCAAGACGACAACGTTAGGCCTCATAGGGCCAGAATTGTCACGGAATTCCTTAGGCTGCAGGGTGTAGAGCGGGTGGAGTTGCCAACATGCTCGCCAGACCTCAGCCCAATTGAGCATGCCTGAGAAGAACTCGGTCGACCAGCACAAGTGGATCTCCCAGGACTCCGCAAAGCTCTAATAGAAGAATGGAATACGATTCCGCAACCTTTCGTTATGAACTTGAGAAGGAGCATGAGAACAGGTGCACCCAAGATACTGAAACACCGAGTGCTTCATGTTTGTCATTTTGATTTTGGGGGGTTGGTCTATACAACTGATGTTTGCTAGTGCTGTTTGAACTGTTTGTCTGTGTGTCACGATGTGTCCACACATTAAGCATTATGATGACACTCTTAGTTCTATTGTTTCTGAGAAACTTTTCTTTACATGTGCTATATATCACTTGACTTTTTATTAATGACGCCTGGTATATAGAACTTAAAATAGCTATGGGTTTTTTTTCAACTAGGCCTTTTAATTTGGTCTTTTAACCATCATTCAAGATACCATTTTAAAGGGAACAATAACAAAACATTTGCATATTATCAAAATATTTAGAAACATGTTATAACTTATGTCACAATCCACAATGGGTGGTAACAACTACCTACAGCACTATTTAGACAGGAAGAGGCATTTGCACGTGCATTGCCATAGTGATTGTGCAATTGACAATCAAAGCTATGAATGAACGCGTCAAAATAGTAAACTATCAACAAGAGTACAGGCATGAACAATGTACTGAGAAAATCACCAAATCAATTAGTTTGTTTATCAATGAGGATAAAAGAAATAGAGGATGAATGGCATATGACGTTTTTCATAATTATATTGTGTACGCGAACCTATGGAGAGTACATCTCATTTGCATACTAAAGCTTGCATCGGAAACGTACATTTTGACTTTGAAATTTCAAGGGGGAAAAATGACACAATTTGCTCTCCTGTCAACTCATCTATTTCGGATGATTTAACAAACAGTGTTAAAAACAAAAGTTGGGAAAAACGATAGTCATACAATATTTAACGATCAAACTTTAGTTGTGTTCAAACCTAAGAAATAAACGCCAAAAATGATTTTATCTATATTTCCGTGAGTACTCTAGCACGTCACGCCGAAGACCCGGTTTGGAATTCCTACCTGGGTACACTGTCTAAAGCCCTTTCCTGCGTTCCCTGTCGTTATATTGCTGGACTAAGGCTAAAAGTAGCGTAAAGACTCACTCGCATAACCACTCACCCACCAACTCACTCACTCACTCACTTGAGAATCAGCGAGTAGATCTTATTTTCATCATGTTACTAAACTTAAAGTCCATCTTATTACGTCAGTCACTCGAGTAGCATTTAGCACCTGCAACACCGTCACGTCCTCCATCAGTGTCGGCACCTCTAGCTTGTAGCTGTGCGTGGGACACGTGGGCGTCTTCGGGAACAATGACATCCTCGTCCCCAGCGGCTCTACGTACATTCAGGGAACCTGGAGACCCTTCTGAAACATACCGTTCAGATGAATAACAACGGAGAAACAGCATAAAGAACCAATAGCTATCGTGATGGTATCAATGTATCTTCCACAACTAGTTCCTAGAAGAGATAGGCTACACTAAATAATAAACACCCAGATCAATTTTAATGCTGTATTATTTCTTCTTTTAAGTCCAGGGATAAATAATTGAACGAAACGACACTATGTCTACTCTGATAAAATCTGCATAATATAAACAAGATGTTTTCAACTTTTTGATAACGAAACTACAATTTAAACAGATGTATATTGTTCTTACTTGGTCGTGGTTCAAATTGCGAAAACATCAACAAGTAATACGGAAAGTAAGTGTTCATCACATATATGAATAACACACTATCCAAACAGATGTATAGTGTTCTTACTTGTTCGTCTCCCACCTTCCCCTGCCAGGGAGTCCTCGTCAACAACAGGACGACGTAGTGGTTGTCCGTGTTGATCATACAGTCCCATGCTGTCTGCATCTCCACCGGCCGTCGTGAGTGTTGCTGGCCCCGATCCTTGCAGTTCCCTCTGTGATCTGGCAGCGTCCTTCCCTGGTGGGGCTCCGTCTTTTCCATTCCGCAGTCCTGCCAAGAGTATTGTGTCCGCGCATTAACGACATATATACTGGAGACGCGACTCGTCATTCACACCATCATTAAATTTACGTAATATTTCAGAGAACATTCTTCAGAATATAGCTATGTGTTATGTGTGTGTATTGTTTTTTGGAAAGGTGTTCCAGTAAGGTAACGGATGGCTTCAAATGGCCATCATACAGTGTAGCCAGGTGTGGAATCGAACGCTGGCTTTCATTGTGAGGACCGAACGTGTTAAGAAGAGGTAACCCCAACACCTGCATGAGTTACGATCTCTGTGTGGTAATGCCTGTACTGTCGAGCATAGATTTGGTCTTACTTTCAGCATGTTCCAAACCTTGCAATGTATTGATAGCACAATAAGGGTACCTGCGTCACCGTCATGTCCGCCGACACCTCTAGCTTGCAACTGTGCATGGGACACGTGGGCGTCTTCAGGAACAATGACATCGTCATCCCCAGCGGCTCTACGTACATTCAGATTAGCTGGAGACCCTTCTGTAAAATATCACAGTTCTGCAGTGACCATCGGAAAGTGTTCTGCAAGATGCCGAATGCATTTAGTAACTGATTAAGATTCGTTTACCAACATCAACGACGTTCCTGCGAAGCCACAGTTTGTGTACGGTGTGTGTATTTGCACAGTGCGTGTAAATAATCTTCACTAGCCATAGCCACTTTGATGGCAACCATTATCATGGCCAGAACGGCAGCTGTTGTTTGTTCAGACCACAAGATTATTTCATGCTTTGGATCATGTCACACTATCCAAACAGATGTATATTGTTCTTACTTGTTCGTCTCCCACCTTCCCCTGCCACGGAGTCCTCGTCAACAACAGGACGACGTAGTGGTTGTCCGTGTTGATCATACAGTCCCATGCTGTCTGCATCTCCACCGGCCGTCGTGAGTGTTGCTGGCCCCGATCCTTGCAGTTCCCTCTGTGATCTGGCAGCGTCCTTCCCTGGTGGTGCCCCGCCCACCCCGCCATGTGGTGCTGTAAATAGTGTTTTGTTCGTTTATTAACATCAAACCTGTCACGTGAGTACAGGGGCTCTGAGTTACATTTCAGTTCCGAGAATTTGAAAATATAGTTTTAAATAAGCTTCAAACACTGTACCGACGTGAGGAATTAGACCAAACACTCCAACCTCCTGGCTGAACTGCCGCCACGATGAAATAAGAAACGCATGTGCATGTTATCTTTAGTAATTTTGGACATAAAGGGCCGCAGGTCGCTGTACAGAGTTCCGTCCCTTGGACACACCAAATCGTGGGTTCGAATCCAATTTATCCTGACATGTACACGTTTCAGTGACTCACACTTACTCACTCACTCACTGACTCAAACCCACCCACCCACTCACTCACACACCAACTCACTCACCCATCCACTCACCCACTCACTCACTCACTCACTCACTCACTCACTCACTCACTCACTCACTCACCCACTCACTCACGCACTCACTCACCCACTCACTCACTCACCCACTCACTCAACTCTCGCTCACTCACCCAAATCTCACTCACTTAATCCGTTATATGATTATTTCTAAACTGACATCCCTTATTGGGATGTCCTCAGTCAAGTCTTGCTAATATATTTACTATTTAATACCTATCAATGGTCGGCCTTCGTCTCATATATCAACTCATATATTTATATATGCAGTTCTCTAACGCCAGTCTTGTGTTTCATCTGCCAAGACGTACATACCTTGCGCTCTGAGGTCGTCTTGTGTTTCATCTGCCAAGACGTACATACCTTGCGCTCTGAGGTCGTCTTGTGTTTCATCTGCCAAGACGTACATACCTTGCGCTCTGAGGTCGTCTTGTGTTTCATCTGCCAAGACGTACATAACTTGCGCTCTGAGGTCGTCTTGTGTTTCATCTGCCAAGACGTACATACCTTGCGCTCTGAGGTCGTCTTGTGTTTCATCTGCCAAGACGTACATACCTTGCGCTCTGAGGTCGTCTTGTGTTTCATCTGCCAAGACGTACATACCTTGCGCTCTGAGGTCGTCTTGTGTTTCATCTGCCAAGACGTACATAACTTGCGCTCTGAGGTCGTCTTGTGTTTCATCTGCCAAGACGTACATAACTTGCGCTCTGAGGTCGTCTTGTGTTTCATCTGCCAAAACGTACATACCTTGCGCTCTGAGGTCGTCTTGTGTTTCATCTGCCAAGACGTACATACCTTGCGCTCTGAGGTCGTCTTGTGTTTCATCTGCCAAGACGTACATACCTTGCGCTCTGAGGTCGTCTTGTGTTTCATCTGCCAAGACGTACATAACTTGCGCTCTGAGGTCGTCTTGTGTTTCATCTGCCAAAACGTACATACCTTGCGCTCTGAGGTCGTCTTGTGTTTCATCTGCCAAGACGTACATACCTTGCGCTCTGAGGTCGTCTTGTGTTTCATCTGCCAAGACGTACATACCTTGCGCTCTGAGGTCGTCTTGTGTTTCATCTGCCAAGACGTACATACCTTGCGCTCTGAGGTCGTCTTGTGTTTCATCTGCCAAGACGTACATACCTTGCGCTCTGAGGTCGTCTTGTGTTTCATCTGCCAAGACGTACATACCTTGCGCTCTGAGGTCGTCTTGTGTTTCATCTGCCAAGACGTACATAACTTGCGCTCTGAGGTCGTCTTGTGTTTCATCTGCCAAAACGTACATACCTTGCGCTCTGAGGTCGTCTTGTGTTTCATCTGCCAAGACGTACATACCTTGCGCTCTGAGGTCGTCTTGTGTTTCATCTGCCAAGACGTACATACCTTGCGCTCTGAGGTCGCCCATGCTGGAAGAACCTGCAGCACCTCTCGGCGCCGCCATCTTGACTGCCACCGGTGTAGACTCGTTTATCTCTGGGGGGTCGGCGTCTGTAGCTGTCCCCCTCGGTACACCGCGGAGCTTTGTGTGTGGAGCTGTAATTGACATTAGTCAGTCAGTTAGTTGTGACACTGCCTTGAACGCTGTAATACAGATGAGCTTGAACCTAGAATCACAGCGAACGGGGAGTCGAACCAACAGGATCCTGACTCGTCGAAGGGACGTCACCCCCTCAGATAAATATGTTTGAGTTGCTGCAAATATGTTGCAAATACTTTCAGAAATATTTTGAACATTTCTTTAAACATTCATTAGACCTTTGACATAAATCATAGTGACTGTTCACGTGTGCAGCTTTACTGACTTCTGGAAAAGGAGTAGCTTCCATTGACGAGTGACATTGCAATTTTTCGCTCTGTCGACCATAATCACAAGACACTATAAAAGTGAGTCAAAGTCAATATTTCACAATGGGTATTACTACTGAACAGTTCAGAAGTCGGATCGGGTGTTTCAATCCTGTACTGATTCACATACTGACCAGAAAAATCCGCAAATCTGTGGCCTCTCGCATACCCCGAATGCACGCCATGGCGAGCATGGCTACCCGCATCACAGTGCTCAACTTAATACTTATGTTGCTGGTCCGAGCGGTTGTAGAGTCCAACCCCGTACCCACAGGTAACCAAGATGAAGACCAGAGAGTGGTCAGGAGCTCGGGGCCCGGAAAACAACAGCGTCTAACCGGACCCGACACGAGACAGTCGAAAGAGGACTCGATGCTCGACGCCATTCAAGTTTGAGGATATCGTCAAATCTAACCAAGACATGCACAGTAAGCTGGAAGATGTTGCTTCATCCTTACGGAACATTAATGAAACAATACATAATGTAGAGATTAAATGCTTGAAATTAGAAAGTGAAAACCAGACTTTGAGAGATTGTGTAAGATGGAAGACAAACTTGATTACCTCGAGAATCAAAACAGACGATCAAATATAATTTTCCCCGGACGACTCGCAGCGAGACTTGGGACTATTGCCAATCAGCTGTTCGAAATGTTATTCGAGACAAACTCGAGTTAGATGATACAAAAATAGCAATCAGTCGAGCTCATCGAATAATGAATGGGAAAGCTGTTATTGCCTTTGTACCCGACGATCATCAGAGACGTAGCATATTTGCAAACTCGACGAAACTGAAAGGTTCGGATTTATGGATTGGTGAAGATTTCTCAAGAACTGTTAGAGAAAACCGTAGAAAACTGAAACCTCTGTTGGTGGATGCAAGAAATAATGATCAACGCGCAGATCTTCGTTACGACAAGCTTGTTGTTGACAATTCCCTGTACATGTGGGATTTTGAAAGTGATACTGCTATTGTTTTGAAAGAACGGCCAATCAGAAGGCAGGACACTCGTGCACTTGACGACGTCGGGACTTCAATAGGGGCGTGGCCTGGCTCTGAGTGACAGCGAAATCGACAATGTCAAGACGATATCGAATGTGTGCTGGAACATTAATGGACTAAAGAGAAAACTTAATAACTGTGACTTTATACACTATGTGTCATCCTTTGATGTTTGTGGACTGTTAGAAATATGGGATAACTGTCAATTATCTTATATCGAAGACAAATTCCCAGATCACTTGATATACACTAATTACAGAGATTTAAATCACAGAGGTGGTGTAACAATTGGACTTCCTCGCACATTACGACCGGGAATACTTCGGGAACTTAGGCTCTAAAAATGACAACAGGACTTTCTGGAGTTAAGTCAAGTCACTGACAGGGTCTCAAGGCCAGTCTAACACCATCACGTCGACACAGTGGACGGACTATTTTACAAGTGTATGTAATATAACTGATATAGCTGTCGACGATGAGATGATTGAGGATGCTTAAACATTGTTTGACGTTATTGATGGATTTGATTGTGTCGTCTGTGATATCGATATTGACATTGATAGTGATGTTGACTGTATTTTAAACGGTTGAATTCTCCAGAGGAGATTGAAGCAGCAGTAAAAGACTTGAAGTGTGGGAAGCTGCTGGGCCAGATGGCATTAAGACTGACATGATCATTTGTTGTATCCATTTGTTATCGCCTTATTTGGTGTTGATTTATAATCATGTTCTCAGCTCCGGTCTATATCCACAGGAATGGGCGAAGGGAATTATAGTGCCCCTACAGAAGAAGGGTAATGTAAATATATACTGAGTCAAAAAAGAAACTTCACATTCTTTCTTCAGGGCACTTTAAAAGAACAAGAGATGGTAAGATGGTTAAATTGTTATTATTTCATTGCTGAGATCTGTGTGATGTACTCGATACACTGACAGTGCCATAATCAGTTCCTTTAGGCTACACCGCCGTTCCAAAACATGGGTATACAGAATGTCAAGTCACAAGAATAAAAATGCGAAATTTCTGAGGTCAATATCGTGTATGGCCGCCCCGCGCATTCACCACTGCCAAACACCGTCTCCTCATCGACTGCCTGATGCTTGTGAACACGTGGTTGGGGATTCTGCGACATTGCTCTTGCAAGGCAGCGCCAAGTTCCTGCAAATTCTGAGGTTGGTTCCTAAGACCACGAAGCCTTCTCCCAAGTGCATCCCAAACTTGCTCTATTGGATTAAAGTCAGGGGACCTCGATGGCCAGTCCATGACGTTGGAACTGTAGACCTGGGCCATGAGCCGCCATTAAAGGAACGAGTTCAGGGGTGAGCACCTGGTCGCGGTAAGCAGCAGCTGTGAGGTTTCCACGGATGACCAGAAGTCGGGAACGGTTGTTCCCACAGAAAGCACCCCACACCATGCACTTTCCGCCCCCGAATCTGTCGACCTCCTGTACACAACATTGGGCATACCGTTCACGACGTCGTCTCCAGACTCTATGCCTGCCATCCGCGAATCTGAGGGTAAACCTGGATTCATCGCTAAAGACGACTCGATTCCAGTCTCTCTAGTCCATCGGAGGTGACTTTGCGCCAACAACAGATGTTGACGTTGATGAAGCGGCGGCAATATTGGCTCACGATATGGGCGTGAAGAATGGAGATTGGCAGCCCGCAACCGATTTCGAATGGTCTTTGAGGGCAGTCAAACTCTAAACATCTCAGCCCTGATTCGTGTAGCCGGCAGAAATCTGTCACGTAGGTGACGTAGGACGATTTGACGGTCTTCTGCTCGTGACGTCACACGTGGACGACCCGACCTTGGGCGATCAGAAGTGGTGCCAGTTTGTTGTAGAGACCTCGCAAGTCATACACAGTACGACGGCTGCATCCCATTGCTCTTGCAACGTCAATAACTGATCTTCCCGCTTGCAACATGCCAACGGCACGTTCACGTTGCACATTTGACAATCGTGGCATTTCAAGTACCGTTAGAACTGTGGTTTAAAAGTGTTTTTTTCAATTCCTGAAGTCAAAGCAAACACGTGCATATGAAGAAAACTTCGATACGAAGATCACGTGATCGACTGCACGTGCACAACCTGATTTGGCACTAACGTCATTTGCACGATGGGTTTGAGTGGGTTTTGCTAACGTTTTTCTAGAGTCGAAAGATAGGGATCCCATTTCGGATACATAGATGTATCATCAGAGAAAAATTATTCATTATTTTTCAAATTACATTTTGTGAAGTTTCTTTTTTGACTCAGTATAGTTGATAATTTTCGTGGTATTTCGCTCACGGATGTTTTGGGTAAAATATTTTGCATTGTCATTAGTAATCGTCTTCAAATTTTTGCAGACTGTTATGATAAGATTCCAGAGGCTCAAGCTGGATTTCGTAAAGGTTATAGTACGACAGATAATATTTTTACTTTACAGTGTCTTGTTCAGAAATATCTTTCGAAAACTGGAGGTCGTTTTATTGCTTATTTGTTGATTTTCGAAAGGCCTTCGATTCAGTCAATAGAACATTATTGTGGTATTCGCTTTTTAAACAAGGTATTCGGGGTAGATTATTGTCAGTTTTAAGAAATATGTATTCTAAGATTTTGGCTTCTGTTCGTCTCAGTCATTCGTCGAACGGTGATTACTTCGAATCAGTGAGTGGTGTCCGGTAAGGCTGTGTTCTAAGTCCATTTCTTTTTGCGATGTTTATAACGGAATTTCAAGGCATGTTACAAAATTCAGGCCTTAGGGGTATCTTTATTGGTTCAGATTATATGGATTTATTGTTATTGTTGTATGCAGATGATCTTAATTTATTTGATCACACTGTGATAGGTTTGCAGAGGAAGATTGATATATTACATAAGTATTGTAGCTCTTGGGGTTCAGTGGTAAATATGAATAAGGCGGAGGTGGTAGTATTTCGTAATAGTGGAAGTGATTTTATAACGGTATTCCAATTAAGACGTCAACATATTACAGTTAACTTGGTGTTTTATTTTCTACTAGATTGTCTTGGTCAAAGTGTACTCATACCCTTGTCAGTAAAGCTAGTACTGCCCTGTTTGCTTTGAAGTGTTTGTCTATAACATATCCAAGTATATCGGTAAAGCTAATGTTCAAGTAGTTTGATAGTAAGGTTAAACCTGTGTTATTATATGGGTCTGAAAACTGGGGGTTCGAGGAGAGGAAATCGGTTGAAATCTTTCACACCCACTTTTGCAAATATATTCTTGGTGTAGGTAAGCAGGTTTCTAGTAATGGAGTTTTAACAGATTGCGGTAGGTTAAGTATGTATGCTGATTATCATGTCAGATGTATAACTTATTGGTGTAAATTATTGAGGATGTCGGAGGATCGTTATCCAAAACAGTCTTATTTACTCATGAGGAAATTAGATTTAGCTGGTAGAGTAACGTGGGCTACTTCTGTTAAATATTTGTTAAGTTCCTATGGGTTGGGTTTGGTTTGGTACAGTCAGGATGTTGGCGATATTTCTAAGTTTGTATATATTTTTAAGAATAGAATAATTGATTGTGATAAACAGCATATTTTTGGTAATATAATCAGTCTTCTCTTTTGATGTACTTTAAAGAAATTAAGTCACTTTTAAATGTTGAATTTGATGTAAACTTCATCAACCAAGTAACTGTTAGAAGAAATATTTGCCTTCTCTGATTAAATGCCCTCTCTTTACGGTGTAATATAAGAGGTGCGAATGTCGATACGTATTGTAGAATGTGTGAAGATGGGGTGAATAAAATTGTTATACATTTTTTGTTTGAGTTTACTGCTTACAATGAATTTAGAGATAGATATGTTTCTGTAAATAGTCAGTTAGTCGCTAATTATCATAAGATATTAACTATTAATTGTAGATATAACCTTGTAAATTGTTTTAATTACAACCTTCCGCACCATCTGCACAGTTTACACATCATCAGTATGGAGGGATCTACAACCTTCCGCACCATCTGCACAGTTTACACATCATCCGTATGGAGGGATCTACAACCTTCCGCACCATCTGCACAGTTTACACATCATCAGTATGGAGGGATCTACAACCTTCCGCACCATCTGCACAGTTTACACATCATCAGTATGGGGAATCTACAACCTTCCGCACCATCTGCACAGTTTACACATCATCAGTATGGAGGGATCTACAACCTTCCGCACCATCTGCACAGTTTACACATCATCAGTAAGGGGGGATCTACAACCTTCCGCACCATCTGTACAGTTTACACTTCATCAGTAAGGGGGGATCTACAACCTTCCGCACCATCTGCACAGTTTACACATCATCAGTATGGAGGGATCTACAACCTTCCGCACCATCTGTACAGTTTACACATCATCAGTATGGGGAATCTACAACCTTCCGCACCATCTGTACAGTTTACACATCATCAGTAAGGGGGGATCTACAACCTTCCGCACCATCTGTACAGTTTACACATCATCAGTAAGGGGGGATCTACAACCTTCCGCACCATCTGTACAGTTTACACATCATCAGTAAGGGGGAATCTACAACCTTCTGCACCATCTGTACAGTTTACACATCATCAGTATGGGGGATCTACAACCTTCCGCACCATCTGCACAGTTTACACATCATCAGTATGGAGGGATCTACAACCTTCCGCACCATCTGCACAGTTTACACATCATCAGTATGGAGGGATCTACAACCTTCCGCACCATCTGTACAGTTTACACATCATCAGTAAGGGGGAATCTACAACCTTCTGCACCATCTGTACAGTTTACACATCATCAGTAAGGGGGGATCTACAACCTTCCGCACCATCTGCACAGTTTACACATCATCAGTATGGAGGGATCTACAACCTTCCGCACCATCTGCACAGTTTATACATCATCAGTATGGAGGGATCTACAACCTTCCGCACCATCTGTACAGTTTACACATCATCAGTATGGAGGGATCTACAACCTTCCACACCATCTGCACAGTTTACACATCATCAGTATGGAGGGATCTACAACCTTCCGCACCATCTGTACAGTTTATACATCATCAGTATGGAGGGATCTACAACCTTCCGCACTATCTGTACAGTTTACACATCATCAGTAAGGGGGGATCTACAACCTTCCGCACCATCTGCACAGTTTACACTTTATCAGTATGGAGGGTTCTACAAGCTTCTGTCCACTGTGTACAGACAACGCCTTACCTACGTCACTGATTGCCCAACAGATACACAATCTGACAACACTTAAGAGAGGGAATGTAACCTAAATATACTTTGTGTCTACAACATCCTCTGTCCAGTAACGTACCTCCTCTCTGACCCGGTCCAGGTCCATGGTCATCGTATGGATCATCAGATGCTTCGCCAGCATCGAACTGCAGGTCCAGATGTCCTGGTACTTCTGCATAGGTAATGTAACACACGTTGTATATTGGATTGCACTTTGTCAGTAAATGCAGATTCTCCTCCAATCCGGGATTCGAACCCATACTCTCAGAATCAGGCATCTAATCGCCAGAACAATACGTCAGCCATCGAACAATAACACCATAGATATCGTACCCAATTGGAACATTGCTAGCAAAATATTTACACTTTTTTCATAGTCCCCAAAACACCAGGTGCGTACTTTATTTTGTACATCAGTATATACCACGTGTTACATATCAGCACTATCTAAATGGCACGGTGTAATCACAGATAATGGACATCCAATGTCTTCTGTTAGAGGCATTGCTAAACTTTTTATGCGGTTAACGTTTCATGTTTCATTTGGTATACTAATATATCTTCACGTTTCGACAGCTAATCAAAGTAACTACATTTAAATTTGTATTGTCTATGTGCACGATTGGCAGAACTTAGATGACCTATCTGTAATCCATACTTTCCATCTGAGAGGGGCGAAACATGTACATCTATGTGGTTTATATGGTGTAGAGTGGGAACAAAAGTGAAAATAAAAAACAAATTAAAGTATGGTGAGATCGGAAATGTTTAGTAGGTTTCTACATTTAGCAATGACTTATAATGTTTATGGGTAGAGGAATCGGAGCGACATTCAACAGAGGTGTGCCATGACTGTTTAACATTATCTGACAAATGAAGCTTAAATATCCTGGGAAAGCCATACAAGCCAAAGCCAAATTTGAATAAAGTATCTTTTATACAGTTTCAAATAAATACACTTTGTAACAACGCCTTTATGCTATATATTTGTGTGAGTGTCACCCGTCATCCTTGATGCCCTTGAACTATAGACGACAAATCAGTCCCTAGAGCGGTGTCGATTGTAGGAGGTCGACTATATCATGTTTTGAGGAATCATTATCAAACAGTGATGTAACCAGTGGCTCGCGACAATGTGAGCGTATCATGCCCCGCCTGTGGCACCCGTCATATACACTTATAATAGATCGTCAGTTTTTCACCTGGAACAATTGGGAAACGTGTGGTACAAATCAAAATAGGGTACTGCATCGGTCATGATTTCTGTTTTGAAACTACAAGAAACAATTGCGATAATATGCGTACTTCTCAGTGGTCCGCCTTCACCAGCGACGACTTGACCTTGGCCTTCATCCCCTGAGGTCGGCTTTGGACGCCGGGGCAAGGTGTGGAGGTCGGTGCTGCTTTCCTCCTCTGGATAACAGAAGCGATATCATACATCGTACAAACACTGACAGTGCAGGTGGAGCCAGCTATTTAACCAGGAATGGGAACGAATACTTGATTTGGGCCAATCAGATAATTCCAACCAAATCTGATTGAATTTACCGCAAATATTACTATTTGAAAATATGCTTCCACCTCAATTAGTGAGCTCGGGTAATATTATTAAAGGGATATCATAAAGCATTATTCTGGTCTTTGACCTCAGACAACAGTACCTTCTTCAAATAATGTAGGGAAACCTGAACTTTCAATTTGGATGGGAGGTATAAGCGTCAACAAACTTTTCAAAAACAGACATGTTATAAACGCACCGCCATTTCTCATTAGTAGCATCCCTAAACACAACGCATTGGATGCAAGGAAACAACGCAGTAGCCCATACAGGTGCATGGAGTGTCATTTGTGATTTTATCGGTTTTCAAGGTCGGTAAACCACTGTAGATCATGATTGTTGACAATCACCTTGCATCAAACACTTGTTAGTGTTTGGTTCCAGCCTGTTTATTATTTATTTGCTTGAAAATGAAAATCGTACGCGTGCAAATTGCACTTCATACTCCGGTACCAATCATCTTTCAAGAGTGTTTACTTTACAAGTATGGTCATAAGGAAGTGCAAGTGGTGATGCACTCTCGAAACATTAAGGAGATAAACCTACTGTGTGGGAAAATTAGAGGTATATAACGAAATTATAATAGCTCTAAATTTCATTTAAAACCGAACGCGTAGCGTGAGGTTTTAAATGAACAATTTAGAGCTATTATAATTTCGTTATATCCCTCTGATTTTCCCACAGAGTAGGTTTATCTCCATTCTACCATGACAATTTTATGAACAGTTTCACGTGGAGCTCTTTCTTTGGTTACGAGTCAATACGTGAAGCGGCCTCGCATTCCAATCTCAAGTGGCATCGCCCGAAACGGGGTGATTGGTGGCAAACTGTCAATTACTTACAAACTCCAAATTCAGTAATAACAAATCACGTTTTGTTTTTTTCAATGCATCAATCACCAATCATTAACTGATAAGTCGGAAAACATATATCAAATAAGTTTAAAAAGCTTAGTTCACCACCGTAGACCCTTACCCCACCAGAATAATGGCAGCAACCTCATGGCCTTGACCTTTTCTCGGAAGTCATTGTTTACATTTACGTGCAAATTTGGAAAGATGCGACAGGAGAGCCTCTGACAGTTTGTGCAAGGTTAACCTGATTGTATGACTGAGATAGTCTTTGATATCTAATTACTGGTACTGGTACAAAATGTAAGAGTAGAGGCGCTTTTTCTGTAACGAGAAGTCCGGGTTGTACCGAATTTAGATACTGTTGAATTTTGCGCCCTGTCAACTTGACGATTTCACGCACCTAGAGCTACATGTGCGTGCCACAGCTGTGGTGACTCTTACACACTCATGTGTTGTACTTTGTGCTCAAATTCGATTCTACGGATATTATTTTCTACATTTTGGAAAGTGTTTTGTGACCTATTGGCTTCAAAGTGTAGTGAATTCAAATTGAGTCGGATTCGCTGGCATGTTCGCGAGTCTGTTGACAAAGAGCCAGACTTGTGGTGATATTTCCGAAAGGATGGATCAGGACATGAGGGTGTACCTCTGGCAAAACACGGTAAGGTAATTAATTATACTTTAAAAGACTACTTAAGATCAAGAACCGTAATGGATAACAGGGATCATGACTAAGCCAAATAACTTTTTCCAATATGTCGGGCTAAACAGAACGGTTTGCAGATTCTGTAATTGTGTTTTACTACCGCTAAATTTGAAACAGTACAAATTTCAAAATATCATTTTGTTTGAATTGATAACCCAACAGTTTATTTATGTGGACGGAAGGCATTAAAATTTCTTCGGCGATCGATGTTAATACATCCTCCGTTACCGGATCAAGATCAGTGGCGATATCGTTGACGAAAGCTGATAATAAATTTAACACGGAAATTAAGTGGCAGTCTATTGCTGGATCTATTCTGACATAACATAGAATCAACGTAAACATATTTGTTTTTGCTGAATTTTTATTCGGAAAGCAGACGATGTTTTGATCTTGTTCGACTGAATATTTGTTTCCATGCTTTCGAAGTACTTTTGTATGTATAAACACCTATTGCTGTGATTTACGCAAGTAGTGAGTCGAGCCCGTCATCGCTAAATCCATCTTTAAAGACATATGTGTAATTTCCGACAGTAAAATCGCCGTAATTTATCGATGCATCGGTAGGTTGTTTGATGTCCGCCATGTTAGTGGGCAGGCAAAAATAGTGCATTACCGTAAACCATGTATAATTGCGCACGGAAAACAGAGACCTGTATAACGTGATTATATACCTCTGAATGACTTTAATTAACCAATCACAATCCAGTGTTTACTGAAGTCATGGTAGAATGATTGTTATCATATCAACATTGATTGACTCTGATTATATTTCCAGTTTCGTTCAATAGTAAACTAAAAATGAATTCCCCATTACTTTATTTATGAGCATGTAAAGGGGATGTACACGATAACTACTGATTAAGTGCACAATTATGTGACTGGAATAATTTAGATTATGTTTGGAAATCTGCCCGCGTTGAAGTGAAACAATAGAAGTCGATTAAAAGTAGATCTGAACCTTTCAGGACAAGGCCGGCACTACATTCGGATGTATCTATACAAAGAGAATACTAGTATGCTACATGAGACGACAGGCCCGGATGTCACCCCCCTGGGTGTGAAGATGACAAGGGCTGTTCGGTATGTATGTAAACTGTCCATGGTAAACTGTGGAATAATCACTCAGCGTTCTGGTACCATAGCAACACATATAGTATGACCAGAAATTATTGAGAAATTTAGGAATATGTTTAATTGGATTTCTAGTATAAACAACCTTGGCCGGTTATCAAGTGCTTGGTTTCATTCAAGAGAGACAACTCCGTTAATCCTTTTTCATTAGTTTGTGAAGAGTTATCTCCCGCACGCACGATCGTACACACATACGCACACTCACACACACACACACCCGCGCGCATCCACACCCAGACACGCGTAGATACACCACACTGTTAGACTGTCTTCGCCTTACCCAGCATAGTTAGATTATAAGATTTATTACCTACGAGGGCAAACACATTTGGGGTTCATATTTTTCATACGATGCCACAGAGCAAAATATCACTTTGCCATGGTGACGTGATGTCATGAACAATGCTATGACGTCACGTTTCTTCTGTGACGTTGCGTTCTACATGCGGAGACGGTGGGTAGCCAGCCTATGTTTGAAAGTAGATTTGGGGTTATTTTCCTCAATTTGACGACTACGGTAATAAACAGAATATTATATTCGTGCCCATATCATACTATGTTTACGACACTCGTGCCTAAATATCGGTATATCCCTCGCTCTCGCTCGGGGAAATACCAACATTTAGGCACTCGTGTCGTAAACATAGTAGGACATGGGCACTCATATAATATTCTCTATATCTTACTTCATGTAGACTCCTTTAATTTCATAGGTCAATGACGCCTTAACAAGTTTACGTGTCACCCCTCCCAGGAGGGTGACAACTGGAAACAATATTACCTGCTGCCATGGTAACCTCCAACCACTCCGCCGAGAAGCTGTATCGCTAACAATCGTATGACGTCATAATATGACGCATGCAGTGCCCGGAGTTCGAAAACCGTTCGATTAGATGTTCACTATGGATACATTTATTTTATCGATTTTCACTGCTATATTTAAACTATTTTACACATTGAATCGTTTGCACACTCAATTTAACATAATTGACCATTTTTATAGCACTTTAAAGCTTGCCACAATATGTTTCACTGATTTAAAACCCAGTCGAGAGGCAGACGTTTACATGTCATATAGTCTGTAGTGAGCTTATCGATCTTCAAAAAAGAATAAAAGGATATTTCGTACATTTAACATGGCGGTAAGATAAATACGTTGTACACTTCTCCCTCGGGTAATACGGTCTGATGTACGAATCTTGTTTGAATAAAAAAAAGTGTCACCCAGTCGAGAGGCAGACGCCATTTTGTGTACGTGTCATATAGTCAGGTATGTTGTATGTTTCTCCCTCGGATAATACGGTCTGATGTACGCCTCTTTGTAGCAGTGTCACCAGAGCCGGTAGGCGAGGGATAACACTGCTAAAAAAAGGCGTACATCAGACCGTATTACCGGAGGGAAGAGCATACAAAGTATGTTTCTTACCGCCATGCTAAATGTGGGAAATATCATTATATTTTGCTTTTGAAGATCGCTCCTGACTAAAATGGCGTCTGCCTCTCTGGATTTTTAAATTTTTAAAATCAATGGAACATATTTTGACAAGCTTAAAACTGCAATAAAAATGGTGAGTTATGTTTAGGTGGAGTATGCAAACGATGCAATGTATAAAATAGTTTTAATAAAACAGTGAAGGTCGGTAAAATAAATGTGTGCATAGTGAACTCAAAAACAGCTAATCGAACCGTTTTCGAACTCCGGGCACTGCATGCGTCATATTATGACGCCATACGATTGTTAGCGACACAGCTTCTCGGCGGAGAGTTTGGCAGTTACCGTGGCAACGGGTAATATTTTTTCCAGTTGTCACCCTCCTGGGAGGGGTGACACGTAAACTTGTTAAAGAGCCATTGACCAATGACATTAAAGTATTTTACATGAAGTAAGATAATAACACCTAATACAAAATAACGTATGGTGAAACCATTACAACAAGTGAGTGAGTGAGTGAGCGAGTATGGTTTTACGCCGCTTTTAGCAATATTCCGGCAATATCACGGTGGGGGCACCAGAAATGGGCATCAACATTGTACCCATGTGGGGAATCGAATCCGGGTCTTTGGCGTGACGAGCGAACGTTATAACCACCAGGCTACCCCAGCGCCCCTAAAGCACTTATAATATCTAGTATACGGTATATAGCATACTATACCGGATATAGAATACAGTGTAGTAGTATACATTCTCTTACCTTCATGTGAAATACTATATTTTACTGGTCAATGACACTTTAACAAGAGTCCGTGTCAACCCTCCCAGGAGGGTGACAAATGGAAACAATATTACCCGCTGCCACGGTGGCCGCCATATTCTCCACCGATAAGCTGAAGAGCCCACAATAATAATGACGTCATTACATGACGCATGTCGTGTCCGGAGTTCAAAAACCGCTCGATCAGCTGTTTTTGTGTTCACTTTGTACTGATTTATTTTACCGACTTTCACTGCTTTATTTAGGCTATTTTATACATTTAGTGGTTTGCACACTCAGCTTAAACATAATTTACCATTTTTTATCGCAGTTTTATGCTTGTCAAAACATGTTTCACTGATTTTAAAAATCCAGTTGAGAGGCAGACGCCATTTCGTTCACATGTCATATAGTCGGTAGCGATCTTAAACATAAATTCTAGCACGACAATGTGTGATACTCCTTCTGATTGGCTGAGAGCTCATCAAAACCGTACTTAAATGACAGTTTAAGGACCGCTAATTAAAGTGACCGATTCACCGCGTATGAATACAACGAACTCGTTGACGCTATTGTTTGCAAACAAACATGTCGGACATCGGCAATTTCTATCTCGGCAGCATCCTTGGTGTTTTTGAAGTAAAAAGCCAATGGTTTGAAGAAGAATTTCTTTACCCTAATCCCAGTGAGAAACTACGAAGCTTGGAAATCCGTCAGCAGCGCAAAAGCGGCAGTATATTCAAACCGGATCCAGATCTACGTGTGTTGACGTCGACAACACACGTCGGCCCACACGTCCAAACCTGACCGCTTCCATCCCGACCGTAATGCCCAGTCCTTCCACTTCCACTGTCCATGTATCCCACATAAAACGTGGCATGTCAGGTCTTTTCCAAATTGGGAATAGTAGGGTGGTTATCAACAATTATTTCCATGAATAAAGTTAGCGGCGACTAAACTTAGCGAGTTCACGGCTTGCATTTGGGCGAGTCGATTGTCATACAGTAGGGGAGATCAATAATTCGCTTGAGAAAAATCAAATAATTGTACTTGCTCACAGTATAAACCGTATTGTTTTTATTTATGTATGCTACTTGTCACAAATACAAGCACACTGGTTCCTGAAATAAAGCATGTATGTTGTTCAAAATGTCTTATTTTGTTCATTGCAAAATCTGTCCCTCAACGGGACGATTCCAAGCTATTTTCAGGAAAAAGGCCCCTTTGCGCCTTGCGTTCTTGCGCGCCGAACAGTTCGGTTTTAAAACGCTTATAACTCGTGCTAGAATGAGATAAAGCTACTCTGTTTTCAATTTTGCGGTCCTTTATCGTTGATTACCCCTCGGGTAATACGGTCTGATGTACGCCTTTTTGTAGCAGTGTCACCCGAGCCTGTAGGCGATGGATGACACTGCTACAAAGAGGCGTAAATCAGACTGTATTACCCTCGAGAGAAGCATACAATTTATAATATCTACCATGCTCTGTGTAGCTTATAGAATAAAAAACCTATTCTACCTCACCTTAAACAGTTACATACCAACAAATTCTCTGTCATCACTGTCCTCAATGTCATTGTATAATACCAAATACCCATCCTGTGGATACGAGGCCTTTCTCTGGGAACTCCCGTCGGGAACAACAAACGTTAGAGGCGCTTCGGCGTCAAAATCTACAGAAGAGATGGAAACACGTGCCATTTGTTCAGATACCACGAAAACAGCGACACGAATCAAGGTCACCTCAAGCTTCCCCAAGGTCATCGATGTTGCTGTCTCAACTGTAGCGCCAAGTGAAATAGGTTTGGAAAGCGCTACAATCGATACGTGATTCATGAAAGCGTTATAATCGATAACAGATCTCAGTTTCTCAGTTGGTACTGATTCATTCCCTTTGTCCAATAGTGAACTAAAATTTCGGGGAATAAAAAGTATGCACCTGGAAACTGAACATTACTAAAACAGCCGCCGAAACGCTTCGAACACTAGATACACATCCACGACACTCCTATCTAGTACACATTGTTTGCTTGTGTCAGTTCTTCCCATTAACTACTGTGCATGTACACTTTGTCTCAAGTTGCCTGGCAGTGTATCCCGCGAGACAGGGGCATGTTACCTGCGCACGACTTCAGTGCCTGTAGTTTTGTTGCCTTTCTGGACAACGTCGTACTGTGCTCGTTTGATGTCATTGTGGTCGATGTCAGATTGTGTTGTACTGACGTCCATTGCCGAACAAAATGACGTCCATTGCCAGGCTCGCTGACTTGGTTGACACATGTCATCGTATCCCAACTGCGTAGATTGATGTCATGAATTGTCTGGTCCAGATTCGCTTATTTACAGACCGCCGCCATAAAGCTGGAATGTCGCTTAGTGCGGAGTTGAGCAACAAACAAACAAACAAACAAACAAACAAACAAACAAACACACCAACCAACCATCCAACCGTTTACCGGATACACACGACCATGTCTTTTGTCAACAATAATACATCGCGTGTGGTTATGTCTGACACTGGGGTGTCTGGTGAACAGCATATAATACATACATTGTCGAGGATGTACTGAGCCCTGTCCGGATGTAAATAACGTATTCTCTGTTTTATAGTTTGTCAAATCAAGATATACTCCCTACACCTCTCACCTCCATCTTCTGGTGTTACAGCTTCTGTGGCACCTGGTGAAGTATCATGTCCTGGTTTAGAGTTATCTGCCCCTCCTGATAACGTAGAACAGATGCCATTTGTAAACATAATGTTGCAATACGACGACAAGAAGAGATGGGTTTTTACCGTATAGCTAAACTGGAAACCAAGCACCAACCCTAGGTGATATAATGCCACTGAGCTAACTGCTAGCTAGATATACAGCAAATCAGAATAAGACAGTTCTGATAGATCTTCTGTGCTGGAGTGATGTTACAAATATGAAAAAAAATGCAGTTTGTTTTACATATTGTGTTCAATGAATAGATCTGTAGGAACTGTGGGAAGAATAGTGTGCCACATTCCATGAAAGGCAACCAGATGTGGTTGTGTGTCACAGTGACACGACCACAACGTTGCCAGCACCTCCGCCTGACTGTCACGTACGCTACAGCTGAAGTGCTCGTGACAGCAGTCGACACAACTGTCAGTGGTTGCTCACAAGGATTATGTCAAGGAAATGTAAATCGATTGTAAGAATACAAACCTGGTTCTCTTCCCTTCCCTTCAGGTGGCGCTGCTGAGACAGGCTTCTGCGTCTTGGTGTCCCGAACCATCTCAGGTTCAATAACTTCCGATGCATTTTGGGGCGTTTTCGAGGCAGCACCTTTCCGTTTCTTTGGGTCTTTTGAAGCATCTTTTGAAGCATCTTTTGAAGCATCCTTGGATCCAGGTTTAGGCTGTTTATATGTACTCCCAAATCCTAATTTCTTCACAGTGGGTACTGGTGGTTTTTCCTTTCTAAGTGGAATTTCTTTCACAGGCTGTTTATCCTTGTCATTAGGACGTTTAGCATTGAGTGACGGTGATCGGGACTTGGGGGTCCTCCCTGGGCTGGCTTCCAGTCTTCTCCCTCTGCTTTGGTTTGAAGGTAATTCCTTGTCGCGTCTTTCCGAACTTTTCAAATTTGTATTGCTCTCCTTTTCCGCATTCGAACCTCTTCGGCCTGAAGGAGAAAGTAGAAGGCTAGCCTTGTCTCCGGACAAGGAACCATCGGTGTCCCTTTCGTCACCCGTGTGTCCATTTGGAGGCATGTGTCGGTCACGATCCTCGGTCCCATTTGCGAAACTGCTATCAGAATTAGGATACGCTACGGATGAGTCTCCACTGTCTATGTCTGAGTGAGAATTCCCATTTCTTTCTCCAGGGATAGCACCATATCTGTGGGGACCGTCACTTCCCGAGTTATTTCCCCTGTCATCCTTTACCCCTGGAGTTCTGGAATTACCCGGACCAATCAGTAGGCTTGTTTCATCTCCAGCTTGATATCCGTTGCCATGGTTTCCGAGTTTACTATCAGGTGATGATGGAAGGGTACGCTGCCTATCATCTGTACCACCATTTTGCTCTGAATTTCTTCGATGATTTGCCATCTGAAACAAAGTTTGTTTCGGGAGCCCATCGTGCCTGGAGTCAGAACCAGGAGATTTCTCCAGACCTTTATCTGGTGATGAATGTAAATGGCGCTGACGGTCCTCCTCGTTGTCTAGACCATCCCCGCCAGCTTTGTTGGGAGGATTTGAGTTCAGCGTTGACGTTGTGTCAGGAACGATTTTGTCTTCCCTTGAGTCACTTGATTTTAAGGGAAGCGTACTTTCGCGTCCATTTGGAACAAGGTATCCGTTCTCTTTGTACGTGTTGGGAGCGTGAGTGTTCTTGTCTGTCGGTTTCAGCAGAGACGTTTGATCTTCGGATCTTCTGCCAGAAGAGATTGGATGTATCCGGTCGTCGGTAATAGGTACTTCCACGCTGTCGTAACTCTCCACGCTCTCGGCCTTTACCAGGGGAGTCTTCTCGATAGATTTCTTCTTCTTAGGGTCTTGTGGCGTCACAGGCCACGTCAGCATCCAGATCCGGATCATGATGACGGTTACTGAAACACGGATGTTGAAGGAATTGACACAACAACATAGACCTCGTGGTTTGATGGACACAGCGTCCAGAGCGAATGGTCACTGGTTTGACCACCTGAACATGGCATGCCAAGAGACGTTAAAAGACAATTTCCTCTGACTATTCCTACCGTTCAAGACATGACCAATGGTTAGATTCAAGCATCTTCAGTTACCGAAACCTCGGTAAGTCGTAATCAAAGTGCTGTGAAACCACTTACCGTGACAGCACCATATACTCCTGCCAGGTGTATATATATCTACACATGCAACTCTTAGCCCAGTAAGTAATTGTTCAAAAGGGTATTCCAGTATGAGAAACAATATCTAATGTGTTAGTTTTCAAATTCATTAAATTAAATTGATTTGTATAAATTTAAGGGAGTTTACCTACCTGTTACGACCAAGCGCACACACACAAAGACTCACATTGCTAAACTACCACTGGAGGTATTCATCAGTATAAACTGCTGCTTGGTCCAATATGAAATTCCGTGACTGTAAACAGGTGCGATCAATGCCACGTGTATTGTCAAGACAGTTATGCACGCTGTCCAGATAATGTTAAACTTCTATTGGTTGGGCAATAAACCGCCAACAATTGGTGATTATCATCTGACATTTCGTTCTCACGCTTGTTGGGGCAGGGGCGATACAAACACCTATAGACGCAGATGATAGGCGGTAACAATGCTTAAAAGGCATTAATTGATTTATTGAACAAGGGAGCCAGATGTGGGGACTCACCACCGCTGCTATTGAGCGCGTGCGCTGTTAAATGTGCAGGATATATTAATGTCAGGTCACAGATATACCTCGAGGTCTGTTTATGATAATGTATTGAAGTTAAGCAACTATTTGGTTGACAGTTATAGCTATATTCTAAACTGTCCTTTTCAACTTCAGTTGCTTTCAGCAAATTGTGTGAGTGGATGAGTGAGTGGGTTGTGTTTTATACCGCTGTGAACAGTGCTACGTGTGACATCGTGGCGCGTTGACTTTGATGTGGTAGGTAGTCGGATGATGCAGGCTTTAGAAAGTGGTAAACTATAACCTGTGTTATGGGATTACACTTCACCAGTAAAGTACAGATTCTAGTACTTTTGCTAGGCCGAGTACTATCCCTTTGTAGAGACGTTTTGTATAAACAAACTTAAAGAAGACTGCGGCAAGAAATTAATTTCAACCAGATAACTTCCATCATCTTTGACTGGATGTAAAAGTGTGCCTGAATAAAACAAATGAATTCATGATGTCTAAATCATATGTTTAAAACACTCATCAGCAGTTGAGTATTTGATATATATTTAAAAAGTAACGTATGTTATATTAGGGATTACACTTTCTTAGTAAAGTACCGCGGTGGCTGAGTGGTCTAGGCGTCTGACTTTGTGTGCTGGCAATTTGGTGCCTGATTCTGAGGGTGCGGGTTCGAATCCCGGATGGGACTCAGCCCAAAAAGTACTAGAATCTGTACTTTACTAAGAAAGTGTAATCCCAAATATAACCTATGTGGCATTTGACAACTTTCTAAAATGGCATTGTGTGTTTCATTTTTAAAAGGTGTTGATCAAATCTTATTTGCAAAAATAAAACTATGTTGAAGTGTTGTTTAGGTGCTAAGTAAGTGTCGGCGTTATTGTTACCATCGCTAACGTAAGACACTTTCACTTGAGAATCAAATAAAAAGTCAAGTGAGAGATACAGGGTCTTATGGTATTCAGTCATGTAACATCAGGCAGTATCGCGGCGATTCTCCTACACGTAACGATAGATACTTGTGTGGTATATTAACCTGACTCTCTCGTACATCAACACACCGAGCCGTATGACGATTGTCCTATGTCGCTTAGATTATATCAATAACATCTCGGAGGAAGGAATACACAGATCGCCAAGGTCGTGTTCAGTCTGTTTAAGCCCGATGACTGCCATTACACATGCCACTCGTTATTTTGTGAATAGGTTATCGAGATGCGTGGGGAAGGATGAGATATAGAGGGGAATTCTGGGATAAGATTCTACTATGCTGAAAACTGAAACAGTGTTTGTTTAACGACTGAAATTTACCCGAAAGCAGCGAAATATGCTAACGAAATCATTATCACTCCATACTAATCATTACTATTATTATGTTAATACTTGTACAGCGCCAATATCCAGCTCAGCTGCTCAAAGGCGCACCAAGTTAATGTGGCTTTCCCATCCCTACCAGGTAGCCATCATTATTCGCTAAATGGTATACATTATCTTCAATTCGTTACTTAATTCACTGTCTAATGAAAAAGAGTTAAATTACGTTCATGTTTGTTTTACATCTGCAGCTGACGTCATAATCTAATTAAAGATATTGCTTAATTATCACATAAATAGTTGCCATGTCGGTAGCATCTATTGCTGTGGGGAATTCCGATGGAGATTGTGTTGCAACTGTTGTTTTCAACAACCGACTACAGTAACTTTATACATGCCTACTGGAGAGGAGGTCTTCTCGGGTGTTTCACGTCAATATTCCATACTGAGAGATGCAATGGAGTTCAGTTTAAACCTGACATATATATATTGGCTTCTCACTACGTGAGTGTATCACGATCACGTGATTTGTTTTTGCGTCACGCTCACCACACGAGTTCCCCCCACCCCTCCTTCAGTAGCGCTGTGACATTTACACACCCAGTTCGACGTATCAATAGCACCGTGGTATGGCTTCAATTGACTGTGCAGCTTGTGGTAGTCGTATTGATGTAGTGGACGTTCAGTCGAGGTAGATCAACAGGTCCCCGGAAGCAACAGGTGACGTGTTTGTCTGTCCCGGTGTTCGATCAATATCAGCTAATAGCATGTCTGGTTTTCTATCTATATAGGTAATAAAGGACTGTTTGTTCTGAAATATCAATACCCTATTTTAGAATACACATAAACGTCACATGTGTATGTGCGTGTGAGTTCGTGCGCGCGTATGTTTGTGTGTGTGTGTATGCCCGTATGTGTTTATGTCTGTGTGCGCGTGTGTGTGCATGTGCGTGAATGTTTGTGTGTGTGAGTATGTGTGCCCGTATGTGTTTATGTCTGTGTGCGCGTGTGTGTGCGTGAGTGTGTGTGTGCCCGTATGTGTGTCTGTGTGTGTTATGTCTGTGTGTGTTTGTGTGTGTGTCTGTGTGCCCGTAGGTGTTTGTGTCTCTCTGCGTGTGTTGTCTGTGTGCCCGTATGTGTTTGTGTTTGTGTGTTTGTATGTGTGTCTGTGTGCCCGTATGTGTTTGTGTCTCTGTGTGTGTTTGTGTTTGTGTCGTATGTGTTTGTGTCTGTGTGTGTGTGTGTACCCGTATGTGTTTGTGTCTCTGTGTGTGTGTGTGTGCCCATATGTGTTTATGTCTGTCTGTGTGTCTGTGTCTGTGTCTGTGTCTGTGTGTGTGTCCCTGCGTATCAACAGGTTCGCTAATTGCACAAGAAATGGTCTTATAATAGCATTTCAATGCAAATAGTTTCTGAATAGAAATATCTTGGAGAATTTTCTAATTCTACATTGAATCTGAGTAAAACTGCTGTTGCTTTGTCAACAAAAACAAACCAGCTGGGGTGTAGTTACGTTCATCCCTCTACCCATTAGCGCCAATAACAACACAGCCGGGGTGTAGTTACGTTCATCCCTCTACACATTAGCGCCAATAACAACATAGATGGGGTGTAGTTACGTTCATCCCTCTACCCACTAGCGCCAATAACAACATAGATGGGGTGTAGTTACGTTCATCCCTCTACCCATTAGCGCCAATAACAACACAGCCTGGGGTGTAGTTACGTTCATCCCTCTACACATTAGCGCCAATAACAACACAGCTGGGGTGTAGTTACGTTCATCCCTCTACACATTAGCGCCAATAACAACACAGCTGGGGTGTAGTTACGTTCATCCCTCTACACATTAGCGCCAATAACAACAAAGATGGGGTGTAGTTACGTTCATCCCTCTACCCATTAGCGCCAATAACAACAAAGATGGGGTGTAGCTACGTTCATCCCTCTACACATTAGCACCAATAACAACAAAGATGGGGTGTAGTTACGTTCATCCCTCTACACATTAGCGCCAATAACAACAAAGATGGGGTGTAGTTACGTTCATCCCTCTACCCATTAGCGCCAATAACAACAAAGATGGGGTGTAGCTACGTTCATCCCTCTACCCATTAGCGCCAATAACAACAAAGATGGGGTGTAGTTACGTTCATCCCTCTACACATTAGCGCCAATAACAACAAAGATGGGGTGTAGTTACGTTCATCCCTCTACCCATTAGCGCCAATAACAACATAGATGTTTGTTTTTAAACTTTTCGATACACAGATTCAACCCATACTTTTGTATGGGGCAGAAATGTGAGGTTTACATACTTTTGAACCGATTGAAAAAATACATTTATTAGCATGTAAGATGTTCCTCAATGTCAACATTGCAAGACCAAACGACATGTATATGGTATATGGAGAGTGTGGAAAATACCCACCTTATATACACTCTCTCCTTCGTTGCATAAAATATTGGTTCAAAATACTGAGAATGCATGAACAGCGTCTACCCCAAGAAACTACAAGATGTTGCTGATTTGAGATAATCTTTGTTATGTAACATGGGCACCACATACAAGATATCTTCTACTTGCGTATGGATTTGCATATCTGTGGCTCTTTCAAGGTGTTGGTAACGAGTGGCTTTTTTATGAACGATTTTTGTCAAATAACCGTTGATATGTTTGATCATAATTTGATGAATGCCTGCATTTAAGTTCCAGAGTAGATGTATATAATAATAAATAAATAAATAAATAATAAATGTATATAGATCCTTCAAAACAATTATCAAACCTGAGAGATATTTTACAAACATTAATAGCAAGAAACTTACAAATACAGCTATTAGATTTAGACTTGCTTTGATTGATTTAAACATATTTATTCAAGAGAATGGATTGGGTACAAGTTATGCCAACTTAGTGAAACCCTCTCCTATTTACAGTGCTTACATGCAAAAGTGAAACAAACTATATGTACAGGGATAGAAAGATATATACAAAATGATATATACAATACAATGAATACATGAATTATTTAGATCATACACATTATATCTGATCACTGAACCTTTTGGAATTTGATATATATTTTTGAACTTGGTTTGACAGATATAATGATCAATACTGGCCGTAAACAGTCACTGTGTACCAGTCAATATACAATGAGGTAGTGAAAAGGATTAAGTATGCAGATTAGCGTCATGTAAATAATTACAATTAAGTCTCAGATGGCTTGGCGACATAATGTTTGGTCTTTAGAAATATTTGTACGACGACTGTCCTGAATGAGGAGGCATTGCATAATCAGAAGACGAATCTGTTCATGTAAAATTAGCCCAGTTGCTAACACATTTGCTGACATCAAGGAACAGTCTGACTTCTCCTGTCAACTAACGTCACAATGTTATGCTGCTCTCCATTACTTGCAGTGCCCATACGTTCCTGTCATTACAAAACTATACAGTATATGGATACGGGCCGGGAGCCTTACAATAAACCATCTTGATCTTGATCTAGAAGTAGTGTCATCATACAACTTACAGACAAACGAAATGTAAATTTCATCTTCAATAGATTTTATCTTATTACTTCTACAGA